CGCGCGCGCGCGCGCGCGCGCGCGGGGAGGACCCCCCCTGCGGGTCATGGAGCGAGGGACGCGGGTGTCCTGCGGCTCGGACTGCTCCCCTGACTCCCCTGACCCTTGGGGTTCCTTTCCCCAAACCCCATTTGTCATGCATGGAGGTGCTGGGCCATCGACTGAGACGAAAATCAATGGAGGTGGGGGAAGAGTTGGAATGAACCTCAAAACATTCGGTGTCTCTGCTGCTTTCTGAACTGCCCCTTGTGGGGACAGGACGGTCACGGCCGTAACTGGCTGTTTCTGCAGGTATAGCAACAGCCTCACCTGGCTAGCATGTCCCCGGGTCTGTGAGAGTCAAGACAAGGGCCCCCAGGCCCAGCCGCACCATCCCTAGCCCCACAAGCACTGGACACTCCACCGGTCACTAGGTGTCCTTGGTGGTTACTCCAGGCTGGTTCCCGGCCAGGATTTTGAAGTGGTCTTCACCAGGAAGGATTTCTTAACAGTGACTCCAACCCACTGGCATCCTGGCACTCACCTTGAAGTGGTTTTTGCAAGGCTTACTTGGTGCCTTGAACCTGGGTGTGCTCGGGTGCCAAATGCACTTCCTTTTTCCTCCTGATCTGGCAGCTGAATTCCCTTTCAGGAACTGACAGGAGATACCCTTTCTGGACTGCCAGCAGGGCCTCTGCACTCAGGGAGGCTGGCAGCGTCACCGCCCCGGACCTGTTGTTGTAAGTCACGGGTGTCCTGAGAAGAATTTTACCTTTCATTGTGGCATCCGCAGAAGGAGCATTTTTCAGTAAATGTACCCATACTGACCTCGGTAACCTTCATGGCCCTGGATTTCAAAGACCATTTCTTCACTAAAATTAATTTTCAGATATCTTTGAACTATCCCCAAACTGGGTAACAGAGAACCTGGTTAGCAAACCCCGTTCAGACTAAAATAGTTCTTAGTCTATTTTAAAGGGATGCCCACTTGCTGACGTTTCACCTAAAACCAAAGATTTTGGTCTCACGAGATTGGGTTTCCTTCTTTAAAAAGGATTATAAATTGCTGTGAGGAAATAAGTATAGCCCTTATTTCGTGCCCTCACCGTTTATTTATGTAATGTTTTTTATGCTCACAGCATCCAAGATGTTAGATCTTTCGGGCAAGAGCTACAAAGATGCGTTAGACAGTCCCTGCTCGCTCATGTACCTTCCAACCTAATTAGGAGAAGAGTCAGAACAGTTCTCCACGTGCCTTAAGAAAAACTAAAAATGATATTTCTGTGGAGCTAAGGCGATAGCCAAGTGTGTTACCCCCCCAATCTAATTCAGAGTGAGAACAGAATTTGGGGGACTGCCACGCCCCCCCCCCGACTCTTTCTCAAATGCCACTTCTCTCACCTGTCTCGATAGAACTCAGATAGCACGTGGTTCATGGAAGGGTCTCAGGTAGGTGCAGCTGATGGAAAAGATAGGTTTTATGTTCCAGACAGCCTGTGGCAGTGTTAACACTGTTAGGAAAATCAAAAAGCCAGATATCTGTGGAGTGGCACGCAGTTTACTACCAATAAATAAGTAACTAACTAAAAGCTAGGCTTTTTTTCTGCTCCTCTGAGAGGCACGCAGAGGTGAGCTGAAAGAACAGTTATTCCCCCAGGCAGATGCACTGGTCCGGGTCTGTGTGAATATTAAACTGAGACCCTAAATCTGTGTGCCACAGAGCCTTCCTCTCCTCGTGCCAGGCATAACCCCGGGAAAGCAGTGTGACCCACTGACGCGAAAAGATGTGCTGCCCCTGGGCTCAGCCTCCCCAGGCCTAAGGGGTCAACACCTCAGCTCACCTCTAACATATCCATAAGTAATATGGCAGCGGGCCTTGGTGGACTGGTTGGAAAACTGGAACACGCAGCACAGAAGGAATAAATGTGCCCTATAAAATACGAAAAGTCAGAGATTACTAGCTGTTCACTTTGAGCTTGAAGAATTCTGTGTGGCTCCTCACATCCTGGTAGAGAAAGGTCTAACTTTGAGTTTGGGTCAACAAACGTATTTACTAGGTACTTCCCATGAGTCGGTCACCGAGTGGCCGTGGGGAATGCAAAGGTGGCTGAGGCACAGCCCTGCTGCCCACGGCAAGCTCACTGTGGGGTCTGCTACTCGGAGTAACGACCCCACCAAGCCAGCCAGGACTGGTAACCACACGAGTGCCAGGAGAGAACACGCATCGTTCTGCATTATTTTATTTTTATTTTTAAAAAGATTTTATTGGGGAATTGGGGGAGGGGAACAGTGTTGAGGAATTGGGGAAGGGAACCAGCCAAGTTGTTCTTCAGTCTTTGTTGTGGAGGGTGCCAGTGGCCATCTGGCTTCCCGTTGGCAGCTCGTGGCCTCTAAGCTCAAGGTGCTGTGTTCAATCTTAGTTGCAGGTGCATGTAGCCACTGTCCCATGCGGGAGTCGAACCAGTGGCCTTGTTGTTAAGAGCGCACGCTCTATCCACTGAGCCATCCGGGCGGCAGCTCAGCTCAAGGTGCCGAGTTTAGTCTTAGTTGTCAACGCGTGTAGCCCACCATGGAACAGGCAATCTTGTTGTTACACCAGCTGAGTCACGGTGCCCCTATTGGCAGCTCAGCAACAGCTTAGCTTGGGCACAGCATCACTGGCCCATGTGGGAATCGAACCGGCGGCCCTGTTGCTCAGAGCTCGCATTCTTAAGCCAACTCTTAACCAACTGAGCCACTCGGCCTGCCCCCGGTCTCCATTATTTAATGACTGCCCTCTACATGTGGACCTTTGCCTCCATCTTAGTCTGCCTGATGTGGAGTCCTCAGTTTATACAGGCAACACTGTGTCAGCCGTGTATGAATGACCCGTTTATTAACCAAACGAGAAGGGCATTCATGCTTAAAAATGGAATCCGCTTGTCTAGACGGAAGGGAAGAGAGAAATCCAAGACCCATTTCCCTGTTTTACTTGTTCTTTCTTTCTTTTTTACCTTAGGACTGGACGCTCCGTGAAAGCAAGGATCATGCCTATTTCGGCCACCACTGTTGCCCTGGCCTAGAGAAGATGCTCAGTAAGTACTAATTAAATGGATAAAGGATGAATGAACGATTTGGTGAGTGCATCAAGAGACCAAGCCTGTTCCTGCTGGTCTGGGCAGTGTTGCTGGAGCATGGGCTTTGAGGGAGATGCAGGGGGCCAGTAGTCTGTCCACGTCCTCTGGCTAAGGAGCGGTGGCGTTCTCTTATTAACACAGCGCAGGCTTTGTTCTGGGTGACGATGCTCCCCGTTAACCTGTGCCATCGCCCAGCCTCCCCTGCTGTGAGGATGACGACGTGACACGGTCCGGTCACTGGTGTCTGGGTGGAGAACTTTGGGGAGCTTCTGGAAAGATGAACAGGGCCAGACTCATCTGTAACATTTCCCTTTGTTCCCGCTTGGGATGCAGGCATTGCTATTAGAGCTACGGCAGCCTCCTTGCGACCCTGAGGGTGAATTTCATAGTTGAAGATGGTGGAGGCAAGAGTCTCGATCCTTTGTGGCCTTGCTAAGGAGCTGTCCAGCTCTGCCTTTGTCTGGGCTCCTTGTTACGTGAGGAAAGTAAGTCCCTTCATGTCATCGCAGTATTTTGTTACCTGTAGCCTAATGCAACAATTAGGAATGCGATTCAGGAATTCCAATATGCTTTCTCAAAAGGACAAAGACTATGTTTGGTCAACAGTTATGCCCACATCCTGCTTCCTTCCCCCCAGAAAAATACTCAAGCATGACTAAAAGTGGGACAGATTTTGGAGGAGCAATCTATTAAACTAACACATCGGAAACGTGAAGAAAATAAAAGCTTACAATTTGGAAAATAGTATAAATGGCATTTTGAGGCTATTCCAGGGATCTGTGCCAGTGTTAATTAAGAGCAAGGGGCCTTTCGTTCAACTAAGAGCTTTTGGGAGCCGCATAGCTTTTCCCAGAAACTTTTCTCAGCCTGAGGGCTCTTATCAAAACTGTTGTAAATGAGATCGGTGGAACCCCGCCGGGAAAACGAAGGGGTCCACAAAATGCTGACTTCATGAGCACTGCAGAGGTAAGGATTGCCAGGATGAAAACAGCAGCCCTCACAGGTCTGCTTTCACAGTTCCATCCAGTGCATGGATGATTACGTGCTCCAAGCTGCTTCTCACCAGTCTCATCCTATCATCCATTCATGGATTCTAGACAGGAGGCCCAGCGTCCCTGAATTGATTACAGAATTTTGCAAGTGACTTGAAAATAGGGACTGTATCCCCCTGGAGCGTTATGTCATAGGAACTCAAACGTATTTGTCAATGAATTGGAATTCCATTTTTGATCATTTCTAATTGCTTTTTTTTTTAATGTGCAAAGATGTAATAGTTAAACTCAGTTAAATAGGTAAAATTTCAACGTAGAAAGTGGGAAAGAACAGCCTCTGATATGCTGAGCTTCCAAATTTAATTTTAAGGTGATAATTAATGAACACGATCACAGCATCAATTTTAAGGATTCCCCCCCCCTCCCAGAATTTTGGATAGTTGCACATTGAAATATTGCACATGAGTGATTCCTCAGTAGTGTTATTCCAGGGTAGTTGCAATAACAAATATTAACTACGTACTCCAAAAAGCAGTAATGCCGACGTAAGACCAGACAGAACCAGCCATGTCTGCGTATTTCACAGATGATTAAGTTGGTATTTTCAATCAGTAGGGATGGTACTGAACTCACTACCTGGGTGGAGAAGAATGCGGTTTAGAGAAATGTGATGGTGAATAGAACAGATACATGACTAGGCGTTGTTTTCGGAACAGGCGTTTCTTTTATAAGACAGAGGAGACTTGGCACTTTTGCGGGCAGGGGGAAGGGTACAGTGAGAGGGAACAGGAGACTCAGGAGGGGCTGCATAATGGAGCAAGGGTGGTAGAGAATGAAAAGCACAGAGAGAAGGCCAGGCTGGACCACAGACAGCATTTCAGCTGCAGGGTCAGCTGTAAATGAGAGGAAAGTGCAGCCGTGAGCAGGGTGAGGTCCTGAGCATGGAAGCTGGAGGCGGCCACGGGCTGGCCAGTAGATAGGCCAGGTGCTTATCCACTGAGAGTACGTGGTGGGAGCAAGGCTTGGATGGGCTGTCAAGGAAATCCAGGAGTGTGACAACGTGTGACCATAGGCTGAGCAGCAGCGAGGGCCCTGTGGAGGTTCCGGAAAGCCATTCGTGGGACAAGAACTTGGCTGAGTGATGCTGACACTTACAGAACCAGCCTGCTGAGCTTGATCGAACACTGGACGTCAGTAGGTAATCTCAGGGCGGGTTGTTCTTTAAAATTACTCATCCGATGAGATAAAGCATAATGTTCACATGAAATTGGAAGAAGGAGAAGGAGAAACACCCACTACACAATTTAACACTCAGCTGGTTTCATATTCAGTGGGGAAAAAAAATTAAAAAATAAACAACCGGTTTCTAACAAATCCAGCCCTATTTTGAAGTAACTTCCAGATCTACAACCACCTCGGTCGGGGACGAGATTTACCACTTACCATGATAGAGTGAAATGGTGGCGGGTTGGGAGAGGCAGTTGGGTCCTCTGTGAGTCAGATACAGAGTGACACAGGGAGTTCACTTCTGTATGGACTTTGCCGTAGATTTTGGGAATGACTGAGAACTGTGTCTCTACATACCTAACTATGCCTTTCAAACGGGCTGTGACTCAAACAGCTGCCTGTGATGATTGGATCGGCCGTTCTGTGGGCTCTGCCAATCAGGACGGTAATACTATGCATTCACAAACAGGCTGTCAGAACCTCTGTGATCAGGACCCATGCAGGCTCAAGCTGGGGGGCAATCAGAGTGGGTTTCTCTATGAGGAACCTCAGATTCGGACACCGCCCCCTTCCCTGCCCCAAGCTGCCCTGTCCAGCCCAGAGAGGTGGAAGTACCAGAAGAGGTGAAGGTCCCGTGAGACTCAGAGGAGGAGGAACAAGGAAACCAGAGTTAGCTCAGCTCGAAAGGCAACAGCAGCCCCATGGCAGCCCTGGGCTGACGGAAGGGTGGCTGTCAGGGCTGCAGAGGCTCCACTGACCTGGCACGTCCAGGCCTTGGACCTCTGCACAAACAGTGTCCCTCTGCCTTTAGTCCAGGACTCAGCGTCCCACTGACCTGCCCAAGCCCACCCAGCAGGCCTTAGCGTTGGCATGAATGCTGCACCACCGCTGACCTGCCCAAGTGACCTGGGACGGAAACACTGAGGTGCTGCCGTTGGACACACGTCCATGCCTTGTTTCTCCATCCGGAAGATCCGTATTTCGAAAGATTTAAATTAAGGCAACCCACACACAATATGATTAAAGAACACTGTGGAAATGTCAAATGCTATAAATACGGACGGTGTCGGGGCAGCCGAGAAGCAGCCTGGAAGCCGGGTCCCTTCCCTCATCCCTTGTGGCACCTATCCTGATTGTCACACGCGTACAGAGGAATCCATAAAAATCATGGGTGGCTGAGAAACTCCACTGTATTTTGAAAATACTTCTTCAAATACTGTCTGAAAGTCTCATGAGAGGAAGCTTATTTTGTTCTCTTAAGTAATCGCTACTAAAGGAATCGCTCCTCTGTCCAACTCGAAAGCCACATATGATTAGAAAAATAATGTGAAAACTATCTTGCCCTTTGCTGTGTCAAATGAGGAGAAAGGAGAGATTTAAAAATATACATATATAGATCCTTAAAATCTGTGACTGGAGAGAGGGAAGTCTGAACAAATTCACTTCAGATGCCAAAGTCTTTAAGAAACGAGGACCAAAAGGATGATGTAAAGACGGTGTAATTTGGATGGAAGGGGTTTCAAGAGAGACTCTCTTCTCTGTGAGCCTTCACGAGTTTTACCTTGCCAGCCTCCAGCCCAGGCAAACACAAGTCCCTGTGTCTTTTGCTCCTTGTCACGGGCGGCCGCACATTCCTAGGATAAAGCAAACCACAGTATGCAACGTCAAGCATGCCCTCAATCGACCCATGACTCTTCTTACTCATTCCTTGCTGATGTCCGGTCCCCACTCCAGCCACACCTGAATATCGCATGCAACCCAGAGCCACCAATCCGGACAGGTGGCGACAGGCTGGGGCACGCTCGGAGGCTGAGCTCTCAACCCCTGCCTTCTGAGGAATTCCTAAGGAACCTTTGCTTTTGAGTCTGAAGCACCTGAGAGCCGGTTTCAGAAGTCCGATGGTCCTCCAGCAGGCCCCAAGGAATGGAATTTGGATGAGCGGCCAGGAGCTGCAGAGAGCAGGACGCAGGGGTCGGTCTAAGGACAAACTGGCTAAGAGCTCTGCAGAAGTGAAATGGGTTGTGTCCTGAAAGGATCAGTTCCCCGTGCCGGGGGCTGATCATATCAAAGTCTCATCTTCAGTAGGTAACTAGCTCAGCTCGAGTTTGGGGACCCCTGGTAATTGAGAGAGCCCGTTTTGTGTTGCAGCTTTCCAGCGGATTAGGACATCAACTCATTACTTTCGGTGCAAGGGATACACTGTTGAAACTGGGTTTCCCTGTGTGGGATTGGAAGTGTCCTTGTCAAGGGGTGTGTAAGACAGCACATAGGAGTGAGTGTGTGCTGCTGGGCAAGTCGGAGGGGGCTAGTGCAGAGGTGGGCTGAAGCTCGCTCTGGCAGAATCCAGCCACAGTGCGTAGAGGCAGCAGCGTATGCGAGCTACAGAAGCAGAAGCGCACACGGCCCAGTGGCTACAGGTGGCAGAGCTTTAGCAGCAGCTGAAGACCTGATTTTGAATGGCCTTGATGCTGGGTGGTTGTCCTGGGATAGCGAGGCAGAGAGAAGTGTTTACACTGGTGTCGGAGGGACTCGTGAAGTGTTGGGTCGGACAGTATGGGCTCTGCAGCCAGGGGTCCGAGCGGAGCTGGGAACAGGGTGCAGGCAATCATTTCAGAGGTAGAATCGACAGAACAGAGACTCAGGGATTGTGAGAAAGCAGAACGGGTTAAATATGACTCAGAAATTTCTGTCTGGAGCCACTGAGTGGAGGAGGAATACGCTGCAAAGAGTTGGTTCAGCATTTGATTTTGAACGTATCAGTTTAGAGGCAGGGGAGAGAAAGAGGCTGGTAACAAAAGCCAGGGGTCAGTATGCAGTGGCTCCCCTACCCGGGACCCCTTTTTTTCCTGGAAACAGAACCCCCTTTTCTGGGAGTATTTCCCTACCCCATGGTTCCAACTATGAGGCTCTCATCACCTGGTCACTGTTACTAGATCCAGAGAAAATATTGAGACAGGCGACCAGAAATCATTCGCAGGGATTTCTTTTTTTTTTAAGTTAAACAAAATTTCCAACATATATAAAAACAGACAGAATAGCGTAAGGAAACCCCTGTACTTCAACAATGATCAATTCAAGGCTAATTTTGTTTCAGCGCTCCCTCTATCTACGTCCTCCCCTCCCCCATAGTCCTTTGAAGCAAATCGCAGACATTTTCGAATTCACCGTGTGGTATTGTAATGTCAATAAATGACAGGAATCTGGGCAGTCACGTTTCTGTCATGTTGAGCAAGTCAGTTTAACCTAAGAGAGGATGAAACAGACCTCAGGAAAAATGAGAAAGGGTCTTGGTGGCTTTTGAGCCTGCCTTTCCTGATATTCCAGAGGTGGTTCAACCTGTAGCTTCCATGAGCCCCGATCTCCCTTCCTGCCTAACCAGTTTGGGCTTCTGTCCTTTTCAACCACGCGACCTGAGACACCCCAGCATTCGCCTAGTGACGGAGGCCGTGCCTGGGAGTGTGTCCTCTCCTGTAAAAACAGCTTCCCGCCTCCCCCAACTGCAAATCCTTTCCTCATGCTGGTAGCAGGAAGCGGCCTCTCCCATCCCTGAGTCACAGGGCGTTTTATAGAGCACCCTCATTCCATGGCTCGCACCCTCTTTTGTTCTGAGCTATGTGGGTACAGGAGTTTGCTGCAAACAGTAAGCCTGCTGCAAACAGGACCTACCCCTGATCTCTGGCTCTCCTCCTCCACCCCCAACATCACACACAGCGTAAGTTCTCCATAAGACGGCTGACAGAGGAAAAAAAAAAAAGTTTCATTTCGTTAAGCCAAGGTTCGGTACCATGTAAAGCTTGAGGGAAATGGATAGAAAGAGATTTAAGACTGTTTCTCTAGAGCCTTTTCAAGGCAAGTCTGTGCAACAAAGAGGGACTTGGTAATAACCATTGAGAACCCCGGTCCTAATAAAACCGAGGAAAACAGCATTACGGTGACGTCATGTTGATGTAATGAAAAGTAAAGGCTGCCAACCTGAAGCCACAGCTCCTTTTCAACAGCTCCCCATCATGACAACGTACTGGGATATTTGCTTCCACGTAAAAGCAGGATGGTGTGTTTTATGTCACGTTCGTGTGTGCTGGACTCACCTGGGGATGCTGTTACGTGGTCAATTCTGCTTCAGCAGGTCCGGCCAAGGTCGGAGATGATGCCTTTCGGACGCCCAAGCTGCCGGGTCATGGACCGCACGTTAGGTTTATACTAGTGGTGCCCCCTCGCAGCTCCCTGCTGAAACCACCACCTACGTCCCACCCCCAGACACTGTGCCTTGCCTCACCTGGGGTGTGGCCTGGGCTTTGGACATTCTGAAACATCCTCAGGTGACCTGAGTGTGCAGATGAGTGTGGGAACCCCACTCTGGTCAATGCAAAATTAGGTTCAAACACGCTGAGTCTGCGTTTCCTCTCCCTTCTGTCCGGCTGGGTTATCTCGGGCAAATCAGGTGCCTGTCTGTCAGTTTCTGAAACTTCTGGAAACATATGCCTGGGTCACCAACTGTCCCATTTTCCTAGGTCTGAAGTGAGGAGCCGGCTCCCCAATCCCCCAGTCTCTCCAAACTTTTTAAAAAAATTATTATTATTAGTTTTAGGTGTACAAAACAATGCACTAGTTACCCTTTTCACCCCTCACAAAGTGACAACCCCCCTTCCCCTTCTCCAAATTTTTGAAGGCTGGAGGTAGGTGGTTACCTAAGAGAGAAAGCCTTTTACCAATGCCGGCGGGGCCTGCTATCTCAGTTTGGTCCATGTGAGGGCTGACCCGGCTGGCTTAGGACGTCCAGTCCCTGCACACTCCACAGAGGTGTGGCCCTTGACGGGGAGAAGCTGCTAGCTTTGGAATGTTCTGCCTGATAAGAGTCTGTACATCGGGGACCTTGAGCTACACCAAAGAGCTTGACAATGCGATATATGACAAGGGCCTGAGGCCATACTGTGTGTCTGACTTCTGAAGAGGCCAGCAACCTCTAAGGTCAGTGGAGCTAAGGTGAGGTAGGTCGCTGCTCTGTGCCCATGCGACTGACCCGCACAGAGCCTGGACCCAAGACTCAGCTGAGCTTCCCTTGTCGGCAGTGCTGTGTGTGTGTCATCACACTGTGTTTCTGGGTGAGTAAAGCGCTGTCTGTGCAACTCCACTGGGAGGGGACAATTCTTGGCTGATTTTCACCCCTCGCCTGTCACTGCAATACGTTGTCACTGTAAATAGGGCAGCTTTTCTGAGTTCTGTGAGTCCTCCTGCCACATCGTTGAACCTGAGTGTGGTCTTGGGAACCCCCTCCCCCTGACTATGGGACCAAAAATGGAACTAAAATGTTACTTTTGTAGCACACTATTAGAGTATTATAGAATAATAACTTGAAAAATCTCAAACCTCCAAAAAATCTCAAACCTCCACAAAGTTAGACGTTAATATAACACCCATGTACCCATCAACAGAATGAATATATAAATAAATGCATTTTCTTGTATTTGCTTCAGTTCCTCCCTAATTTTTTTTTATTAGGAAATGAAGCATAATAGACACAAATCAAGTTTTTTTGTAGCCCACCCCAGTCCTGGGCCCCGTGGCCATCGCTACTCTGAGGTTGGTGCATATGCTTACTTTCCAGGCTTCATATTGTTTTCCTGGGTATGTTTCTATCCCTTTACGGGTTTGCAGGGCATCCTAGCTGAGGACCTTGCCATCTTCTCTGCATCTTTCCCATTTTGACAAACGAGTTGTTACCGTGTGCGTACTGGACTTCATTCCAACCCCGGGGATGTGTATCGGGGGGTACTTACTAGGTGCCAGGCATAGCGCTGTGGACCCTGTGGGGTCTGTCTGCGGGCCCTTCTAACCTGGCGATAAGAACAAAGGTTTGCTGAGTTCAAGCCCTGCTTTCCCAGGGGCCTTTCCTGAAGGCCCCATCCCCTCCTCACCTGAGGAGTCTTCTTCCAGCATGTCAGGCCTAAACGTGACAGGGGAGGGTACAAGGACCAGGCCGAGTGCTTCTCAGGGCTTCCGGCTCCCTGGTCTGAGAACCGGTCAGTATCCTGGGCTGGTTCAGACACCCCAAGGGGTGAGCTCTGCAGCCCAATAGTGGAGGCAGTAGTAGCATCTCCTCCTAGACCTGGACGCCAAGGCTTGTTAAATTCCCTGGTCCCCGCCCGTCACGCTCAGTGAGCAAACACTGCTCTGTGCAGAGCTGGGTCAGACCTCACTGCGTCTCTATAAAGAGGGTGAAGGTGGGAGAGACCCGCTCCATTGGCCCCCGACCTGCCTTGGTAAACAGTGTGTCTTCTAGACCTTGGTTTCCCAATCTACACAAGGAGCTGGCTTGCAACGGACAGATCGCATTTCAAGTTCATGCCAACTCTCCCATCCCAGGCCCCAAACTCGATGGCCCTCAAAACAGTAACAACCCCAGCAAGGTCTGTGACCCCCTACACCCTGTGAGAGAGGAAGGTACTACACAGACACGCGCCTGAGTTACAGAACGAATGTCCTGCCTGGATTCTCCGGAATATTGTTTTACAATGTTAGGGCAGAAAAAAGAAAAAAAAAAAAAAGATCCTGATGGACTATCCCAGAGTGATGCTTCGAGCAAATTCAGTTCTGTTTTCTTAGCTTGCAACCGGTGACCACTGACCGAGCACTTCCTAAGGATGAGGCAGTTGGCAGGTGGAGTGGAAAAGGAAAAAGGGATCGGGGGTACAGAGAGGCCCACAGAGCGCGCGAAGGAAGCCACAGGTGGAAATGCCTTCCAGGTTGGAAGAATTGGAAGAACCACGGAGGTCTTCATGGAGGGGCTGGCCCAGCAACCTGGCTCCTCAGGTATGTTACTATTTAAGATGCACGTATCAAGCCACAGTTGTGTGTCATGCACCGTGTGTCTGAGGGCCCTGTGGACACACATGACTGACAAAGCCCGAGTCTTCATCTGCAAGGAGTCCCCCAGCAAGCGCCAAGGACGAGCGCATGTGACAGGTTGAGTAGAGCCACAAAATCTCTGACAGCCTGCTGGCAGAGATTAATGTCATTAAAATTAAAAAAGCAAACTAAAACAAACACAAAAAATCCAGGAAAACATGGCAGGCAAAGACACCACAGGAAATGACAAGGCAGGAATACGGGTGGCCTCGTTTTTCGCATACGAAGAGCGTCCCTAATATGGGATTTAACAATTAGTCGTTGGCAGAAGGAAAGGAAACGGGGTTTATCATGTATTGAACAACTGGATTTTCCATCTTCTCCTAAAGCGGAATTGACTTCTCCCCCGGAAAACCACAATCCACAGAGGAGGAGAGTAAACGAAACATCCATGTAAACATACCCCCCTGAAGGGCAGCGGCCTCTTTAGGAGATGTGCCAGTTGATGTCATTGTGAAGCCGGATAAAATTACTCATCGCCATTCTGTTAATTAAAGAAAAAGGGTCTGTGGGGGGGAAACCGTGCGATGACAAATGGTTGCAGGCAAAGTCACTGTGGCAGGACCTCTTTCTTAAGCCACAACGGTCAGCCAACAATAGGAATGTTATTCTGGAAACTGCTTTCTCTCCTCCTCTGAGCTCCCTCTGGGGTATGGACACCTTTGACGAGATTCTCACCGGAGCCCTGAATCCTGGTGCAGAACAGCCCCTCAGGGGGTCTGGCCCGGCCACCTCTGCTTTACCAGAGGGTGCAACCTTGCCAGCTGGGTTTTTCCAATTTGAGTGCCCTGAGTCCTGCCCCCGTTCCTCACAGCCCTCACCTCTATTTTCACGAGGACCGGATGCTCCCCAAAAGAAACCAATTGGGAGCCACTTAGAAAAAGAGTACTTGAACTTCGGCGGTGGGGAGGAGAATGTATAGAACGGGGTAAGACGTGCTGAGCGCAGGGCTCTGCAGCCCTGAGTGTCCACTGAATCACCTGGGGGTGCTTTCAAAGCACCTGGCTGAGGCTTGGGTCCCACCCAGTGTTGGTTTGGGGTATGGCTTGGGCATCAGGACCTTAAAAACATCCCTTCTGTCACGTATATCAGAGCTGGACATGTTGACTAGACATGGGGAGGCCATCTTGTGGAAGATGAGGTGGCAGGTCCCAAGGGTCCAGACCAGTGCTGGGTGGGAACTCTACATGCGGAGGACTTAGCTCACGAGTTTGGCCGAGCAGAGCCGGAGCAAGCAGCCGGGGAGGCCACGAGCTTGCTGCTTCAGCAGAAATGCTGTGGGGAGTCGCGAGGTGGTTGCGTGTCAGATCTCTGGGTGCTAGGATGACAGGAATCTGAGAACTCATGGACGGAGACCCGGAACTCAGCAGCTAGGAGCCGGACTACGTTCAGCTCCTGCCTCTGTCACTTACTAACCATGGGGACAAGTTAGTGAAGGAGATTATCAGTGTCTACACATCAAGTGTGCAGACTTACCGAGATACTCAGGGATAAATTACAGCACATTTCGCATCAGCCACTGGTAACTGTGGTTGAATTTATCACAATGGAATCTGCGTCGATGGCTGATGGCTTTGTGTTTGGTTGGGTCCAAAACAAAAGAGAGAAACATTTCTCTCTTTTTTTTTAAACTTCCTCAATTTCAAAGCCATTTCAGGGCAAGGAATAGAGGAAATGAATAAATAAATAAAACAGCTCTCTCAAATTACACATCAGCCTTCAGGCAGGAGATGGTGACTATCCAGTGAGTGTCTGCCTGGGGTCAGTGGCATCAATGTACGCTTTATCAGAGTGATGGTCCCAAATCGGGAGACTGAACTGTGCTCCCCACGACTCAAAAGGGCAAAAAGGAGAGACACTCGTCAGATGCTAAGGTAGCAATATGTTACAGATGGCTACGGGGATCACAGAATCTCACAATAATTTGTTTTTCTATCTTCCCTGAATGTTTTACGAAACCATTAATCAAGGAACCCTTGGTCTGAGAAACAGATGTTGGTGGTCAATCCAGCTGCCGTCACATCTGACCTTTTCTAGGGGTTTCTGAAATTCTGGACTTGCTGGCTGAGCTTAATGACCACCAAGGAAGATTTTTCTAAACCGCGGGGCCTCTGGGCTGCCTTGCAGATATCGGGGAGCTGAGCCCACCTTGAAGACAGCCTCCGCTGCTGGGGGGCTAATTCCCCCCGTTCATTTTAATGCAGCTCTCCTAGTGGGTGCCCAGCACGATGTGAGGCTTTGGAGGGACAGAGGGGCGGGGCCCCTCAGGGGACCATTCAGTGAGGAATGCCCACGGCTGTTTCATACATGGTGACAAATGCGACAGCTGGAGCTGGGGGGCACGAATGACTCACCCAGGCCAGGGCCAGACAAGGCTGAGTTTCTGAAGGACCATTAGTATGGTGTGTGTGTGTGTGTGTGTGTGTGTGTGTGTGTGTGTGTGTGTGTGTGTGTGGGTGAGGGGGTGTTGGAATCAGAGTTACAGCATGGTCAAGGGCATGCGGCCAGTGACAAAGGCGCTCTGGGGGTCCAGGAATGTCCCCTGTTTCAGAAAGAGGTATGGGTCGCTCAGATTTGCATTTTCACAGACACTTTGTGAGTCCCAGTGTGGAGGGTGAGCTGGACGGGCTCAGACGGGGCGTGGCCACCAAGAGGCTTATGCGTATTAGGACAACCAAGACCACTTGTGTCCCTCTGCAGCCCTCACCGTCCTGTCCTCAGGGGTCCTGTCCTCAGGGGTCGCTCAGTGCTGGCTGACTTACTAGAAACTTGCATAGGCAGGCCCACGTGTCCTGGGTGGTGGTGGTAAAGGGGTGTGTGTGTGACAGGAGTTTCCACTGACCTTGGCAACGACAGGGGAACCAGGCATGCTTGACCTGTACTGCACAGCAAAGTCAAATGGGAACCATTTGCATTTAGAATGAAGAGGCCCTCGGAGAAGTCTGCCAGGGGAGGAGAAATTGCTCCATCACCAAGCGTCCTTAATCAACATCAAATTCAGCTCGTGTAGTTGTTGCAGGTAAAAGACAGGATGTGTCAGAAACAGCAGGGCTGACAGAAGGGAGGGGGACCCTTGAAGGGCAGCAGGCAGGTTCCAGGGTGCTATGCCCCTTCCCCCCAACCATCAGCTCCCTGCACCTCCAGGGGAGAGCTTTATTATCCTCTAATACATGACAACGCTGGAGTGGAGGAACAGGAGAGAGCACATGGTGGCTTAAGTATGACTCCCCCCATCATGGCTGGGGCTCCGCCCACTCACACTCAGCCTGCTGGGAGTGTCCTGAGCCCCCACCCACTGTGGGAACTGGTTTCTGACCAGCACACTTCCCACTGCAGGAGACCACAGTCCTCCGACGGGCGTGGGAAGCTCAACAGCGCCCCCCTGAGGTGTGCAGGTGCCAGGGCCTGCAGGTGCCAGGGACCCTGTCTGCGTTACCTGCCATGGCCAAAGATGCTCTGCACATGGGATTTAGTCAAGGATCCTGAGAAGGAACGTTATCCAGGATTGTCTGGGTGGGCCCGATGGAATGGCACAGTCCTATGACAGGGAGGCAGGAAGCTCAGGATTAGTCGTAGGAGACGTGCCCCTGGAAACAAGAGGTTGACGGGATGTGAGGGGGTCAGGAGCCAGGGGAGCAGGTGGCCTCCGGAAGCTGAAATGACCAGGAAGGGATTCTCCCCTCGGATCCACCGAAGGAACCAGCTTGCCAGCCCTGGGTTTTAGCCCCGTGACACGGGCTTTGGACTTCTGACCTTTAGAACGGTAAGAGAATAAATGTGTGTTGTCTTAAGCCACTTCATTTCTGGTCATTTGTTACGACAGCCCTAGGAAACTCCTACAGCGTTACACACATTTTCCAACACAGCATCTTGGAAAAATTCACTGAGGAATGGCTCATGGAACTCATGAGCTCCTTCATTCTTTTGAATAAATATCCTCAGTGATAGCATGACGCTACCTTTTTAATGAAGTTCAGCAAATATTTAGTGAGCAACCAATGTCAGGCACCATGATGGTTAAAAGAGTAAAACGTGTTTTCCCCCAGACTAGGAAGGAAGCAAGAGGGAGTCCTCAAATCTCAGGAACCTAGGCGGGAAATGCACGGCCTCAAAGGCTCCCAGGCCAACGGAGGGTAAAACGGGGGCCGTCACCTGCTGAGGAGGGTCAGGAATGCAGTGGGAACCGGGGTACAAGGGACAGCCCGCATGGAGGCCTGGAATTGGTAAAGGCATGGAAGTAGCAATGTGTTTAGTATCACGCACTGAATGGTGCCCCATAGATACAATACACAGGAGGAAACATAGTATCTGTCAGGTTTGGTACTATCCGCGTTTCAGGCATCCACTGGGGGTCTTGGAACATATCCTCCCCCTACCCCCATGGTTCAGGAAGCACAGTTTTATTACTTACTAGCAGCACACAGGTTTGCTCTTACCTGTCTTCTCATGCACATGTGGGATGCTCTCCAGGCCAGGGATTGCTGAGTCCAAGGTCTGTCCATCTCTGACGCTCTGGGACACTGCCTAACATTCTCCACAACAACCATCCCGGTCCCACCAGCAAGGATCCGTTTCCCCACTTCCACAATCACCCGTGTGCTACCAGACAGCAAATCTGAGTGACACAAGTTCTAGTTCCCTTCACTTACCAGGGAGGTTCAGCCTCTTCTGATACATCTCATGCCATTTGAGCTTCTATGGACAGACCACTCAAACCCTGTGGCCATTTATCTATTGAGCTGTGTTTTTCTGATTGGTTTTTATGAATCCTTCATATATTCTGGACACTGTCTGAATACCACTACTCTGGTAAGTATACAAACTGCAAATGTTTTCCGCCACTTGAATTGGTTGTCTTTTCCATTTCTTTAAGCCAAATATTTTTTTAATGAGTTCAAACATATCAGTATTTTACTTTATGGCTTGCGGTCTTGGTGCCTCGTTTAAGAAATCCTTCCCTGACTTGATTTTGTGAATCTGTTTTCCTAGATTTTTCTTTTTCTTTTTCTAAATGTTTTACAGGTCTTGCTTTCTGACATTCAGACGTTTCCGTCCACATGGAATGGATTGTTGCGTATATTCTATTTTACACATGGTGTAAGATCAGGACACAGTTGCTTGGTTTCCTATGTGCTTTTCCCCCAGCAGCAAATAACGACCTCCTTTGGGAAGGTGTGTGTGTTTCTAGATTCTTTGTCGCTACTGGTCCTATAGCACGACTTCTCCATCTCCACGCCGACCCCACACTTTTAATCATATGCCTTCCAAGCACCTGGTGGGTTGAACACGCCCTGGCTCTCCTCCACTAACTCTCTCCCAAACTCCAAGGGCAGGGGTCCACGCACTGCTCAAGGACAAAGCTGGCCCGGGCTAGTCGCTGTTCAAAGTCATTTTTACTGCAAGGAGATTTTAAAAGGCAGTTACATTCGTTATACAGACACACGACCGACCTACGTAGCTGTTTAGTCATCGAGCACATTCAAGAAATACAAGTGACGGTTGAGGCACAGCACAGTTCACATCCATAAGAAGAAAAGTTAGAAGACAGAGGATTAAGTGCTTAAATTGTCCACGGAAGCTCATCTGTGAGGCCTTCCGTCTCTGAAGGAAGATGAGATGGTTATAAGAAGCATGTTGTCCCGTCCCAGCAGAGCCCAGGAGGCTGTGGCTTCGTCACCTTCAGGCAGAACCCACAGGCTTTCCTCGATGGCTTGACCACAAAACAGGCCTGGCCATGAGACCCGGGCACACATGACATGGGCGGGGTGCCTCTTCCCGCAGCCTCAGGCAGTAGGGGAAAGGGGACAGCCAGGTGCATGTGGCCCCTTAGTACACAAGACAAGGATTTGGTGGAGGAAGGGGGAGAGAGGAAGACCCCGGGCAAGCCAGGACACAGTGACCTAATAACCAAATCCATATTTTCCGGTAAAGCAAAGAGCATTTCTACCCTGACTTGTTATGGCCTAGAGCAGTTAGGTAACCGGTGTGGCCTTGCTGACAGGACAGGTCCTAATGGTGAGCGAGCAGGTGGGTGAATGTCCCTGTCATCTGCTGGCCTGAGTGCTGACGTGGGGGGACGAGAACATTCTTGTTTCTCGGGACCTGCCTCGTCTGCCATAGTCAGGTGTGGTAATCTGGAGAGCACACAGCCTCTTCGCTGGCACAAATAAAGACACCTGGCTTTCATTCACCCACAAATCCTTGCCTCCCAGGGCCAAGAACTGAGCTGTCTGCACCCTGTTAAGTCGAGTTTAAGTGAGAGGAGTAGGTGAAAGGTCTCTGGGATCAAGGATCTCCTCCCCCTTCCTCTGTACCCGCCCCGCCCACAGTGCTCAGCACAGACCCGGGCATGTGGCAGCTCGCAGCCAGTGTGCCAACCTAATGAAAATCCTCCAAGTTCCCTCCAAAAAAAAAAAAAACAGAAGGAAAAACAAACACAAAATCCCCCAAACTTCTAAACTCACAGGCAAACGTGTTTTCATTTCACTGAGAAACCGTCCTCTGACCCCAAAGCTCTTTTGGTACCTTTTTGGGAAACCGCTGTGCCCACTGCCTGGGCCAGCTCCAGGCTGCGAGGCAGGGGTGGCCGGGCTGGGTGGCATGGGGAAGGCCCCTCTGGGTCTGGAGCCGTCAGGGTGAGTGTTGCTCCCACCACCTGCTGTTTCCCTAGAAGCCAAGAGACTCCTGTGGGCCACAGGACATCCTGTGCATCTAAACCCAAGGCCCAATCACTGCTATTTACACAGCATTAAAAGCCACCCTGGAACTACAGTCAGTGCTAAGTGGGTGCCTAGGAACCGGGTCACGCAGAGCTGGCAGCGGCCAAAGGCCTTCCACCCAGCGATGTTGAACTTTACAGGTGGAGCTCCCCAAGCAAGCTGGGCCCACGCTGCCCCCGGGATGCCAGGCAGGGCTGGCCTTTCACGTAGAGGTTTGAGAGGATTGAAGCAAACACACCCATGGCCACTCCTGCAGCTGGGCCCACGGGGCTCAGGCCACCTGGAACTAGCTCTGCTCTACCTGGCCCTCCAGAATCAAGGGGGGACATTCGTGCTGCTTCTGAGCCAGGGGCCTGAGGAGGCCATCTAAAGGGACTGTGGCAGGGACACAGGGGTATCGGGGGGGGGGCCCTCCAGCCACCCCAAGGCAGCTGTGAGTAGCTTCCCTCCCTAGGGGAGTGAGGGAGCAGATGGGACGGAGATACAAACAGGAGGCTGGCGGTCAGGGAAAGAAGAAAACGAGAGAAGCCGTCCACAGCGGACGGGCATGGGCGGGGCAGAGGTAAGGGGAAACGGGGATGGACTCTGGAATGCGTCTCCTCCAATTTGAGGAAACACAGCAGGCCAGGGACCATGGGCTCAGAGCTCAGCCGGGCAGAAGCTTCCAGAAGTCAGCTCTTCCTCCCGTTTCGGGACCATCCAGGGAACGCAAGGCCCTGGTGAGGACGGCAGAATCCGAACTAGAACCAGGAGCAGACCCCAGTGTTCTGACCACAGACCTGCCCCTGTGCCTCCCAAGACGCCGCTGTCCCCAGCTGGCTGAAGAAAGCAGGCTCAGGCGGCCTGGTGGGGAGCACTTCAGAGTTCCCACCTCCACGCATGGGGCTCACCCCTAAACCATCTCCAGTCACTGAGCAGAATGCACCCCCCGAGGCTGGTCCTGGGGAAGGGGCTTGGAGTGCAGGACTGGAGGCCTGGGTGTCCTGCCCGCCTGCTCACACCTGCTGTATACAAGACCCTCTGTGACCGCCAGGTCCTGGCCGGAGGAGGTGGACGCAGCAATGTATCCTGCTCAGCTCAGCCCACCAGCCTGGTGCCCAGGCCCTGGCCCTGCTCCCTCCAGTCGGGGTGCTGCTGAGCTCGGGGAGGGGGCTGCACATGGGGACGCGCTCGCGACATACCCTGGACTCTAGACATTCACTCTGGCCACACGACAGACACTGGCACGACACGTCCATTAGGACAGACACTCACATCACACTGTACAAAGGACACACGTCCCACGTCCCACAGTACAAGCAGCGCAAAGACTCGGCGAGCGGGAGTCGGGGGAGCCAGGTCCACCTCGGGGTCCCTGTGCCCTCACCTCCTGCTCACACCTTTTCCTGGCGCCTCTGAGCCCCACCCACCCACAGAAGATAAAGGCAAGACAATGCCTGGTTCCACCTTCCTGGGCATGTCTGGGGGTGGGGGGCGCTTGGGCACCCTGGGCGGTAACTAAATGTTTTATAGGTGAAAACTGTCTACGACGAGATTCTTCACAAGTAGATTTGAAGGACCCTGGGGCCCTACCTCCCAAGGACACACAGATACAACACAATAAATACAGCTGACCCCCCAGCGTCTACCAGGGCTCCAGTTGGCAGTCGAACAGCCGAGGTTACAGGTTAGAGCTGAGCGACGCTGTGCCTGGGGCCACACGGGGGAGGGGGGGACACGGTGCCTTCTGCTGGGGGCTCCGGCGGCAGGCTGAGGGGGGCGAGGATGGGCCCCACTCATGTGGGCGTCAGCGTCACAGCATGGGTGGCACAGCACAGCGGAAGCCTCGCTCAGCCCGCAGCTACTCAGAAAACGGCGGGAACATGCCCAGGTCGGCGAAGTCTTCGATGTTGTAGTTGCCGGTCCCCTGGGTTGGGTCTCCCGGCATGGGTAGCATGTCCTGCAGGAGAGAGAGAAGGAGGCACAGGGACTCGGGCAGCTGCACGTCCAAGGGCCCCGCCTGCCATTCACCCGCATGGCCAGATCACTAATGGGGGATGCTCTGCAGGGGTCTTCAAATGTCTGAGAGTCTGGGGGGGGCGGGCTGCCCAGGAGCTGTCACCCCCCTGCAGCGAATCACCCCTCTGTCTATTTAAAGCTGAGCGAGGACACGGCACACAAAATCCCCACTGGTGGGGGAGCCCCGCCTGGCTCCGAACAAGCACACACAGTCCGAGACGAGACGGAAGCGCAGTGCAGAGCGGGGAGAGGACAGCCGTGTGGCACCTCGTCATTGTGTGTTGAGGGCAGGGCCTAAGCCCTGTTTGGTTACACTCCACTTTTAACAAGTCCTTCAAGTTCTCTGGGCCTCGGACTACCCATCCAGAAAATGGGAATGGGTACAGTTCAATCCCATGTGGCAAATTCCCCAAAGCGCCTTCTGTTGAGTCCTCTGCCCATGAAACGCTCGAGGAGAAAGGAATTCTATGGACACATGAGTTTGGGAAACATGGCATCCTTTACCTGCCTCCTAAAAACCCTCAGTCCTCTTTAGTATAATAAAGGCCCTGATAAGTCCTGCAGTTAGAACCTGAACGACTTTTTTAACCAACTTTTCACAAACTTATTTGACCAAGAATTCTTTTTAGCATCGTGACCCCGACAAGCCAGGACAGGGAATTCTGCCCTTCGCGGCTGCTGGGAGGCGTAAGGATGGGCTAGGCTGAGCCTTACAGAAGAGGTGGGGGTGGTCATTGCAGGTTGGGGACACCAGGCTGGGACCTGGGTGCAGCCATGCTCTGCACCTTTGGAGACCTAGTGTGACATCTGGGTTCTAGACCTTTGTTTGTGAAGATGCTGCCTAGCCTGCAGGAAAGGAGCTGGGGTGAGGGTGGGGTTAATGGAGAGCTGGCCCTTGAGAAGTGGGGGTTATAGTCCCTCCCCGCTTGCTCTGCAGGACAGGCCTGGGGGCACCTTGGCTTGTTCCAAGGTGCTTCCCCCTTGTGCAGACTGGGTGGGGTGGACCGAACGCCTGGCTAGGGCGTCAGTGGGTTCATGTCCCCATTTGGAGCCTTCCCCTGTGGGAACCTTGGATGAAAGTGGAGCCAAGAAAGCCCCACAGGGACTGAGTCCTGCCCTGTGGCTGCTGGCCATGTCCACTGCAGGTGCACAGGTGGCCAGGCATGCCCAAGGGCCAGGAATGTGTCCAACAATAGAGGGCAGCGAGGTGCCCAGGCATCCTCAGCCAGCGGCAAGGCCCTACGCGTGACCGGAGAAGACACCTGCGTCTCCACTCCTGGACCCCTGTGGCGGGGGCCAGGCTGGCCCCGGGCCAGGCCAGCACAACACTCACAGTGGCTATGAGCAGGGGCAGGGCCGGGGCAGGGCCCAAGGTGGGGGTGGGGTAGGGGGGCAGTGTGGGGGCAGGGGCAGCGGTCAGCGGGCTGGGGAGGAAGCAGAGAGAAGGTGCGGGTACCTCCGAGAGGCGGCGCCCGCTGCGTTACCTGGAACACTTCGGTCTGACCGGGCTGCTGGTGGGAGTGCTCGCCGCTCTGCTGGCCGTGGTGCTGGCTTTGCCACTGGGACCAGACCTCCGAGGGCCGCCCTTGGAACTGACCGCTACTTTGTCCGCTTTCAGCTGAAAGACCCAACATACAGGATACGTCCTTTAAAAGCCATCCTGGGGGCCGGCCGAGTGGCGCGTTGGTTAAGAGCTGGCTTGGGACGCCAGTTCTGAGCAGCAGGGCCCCGGTTCAGATCCCACATGTGGGCCAGTGACGCTGCGCCCTCTACAGCTAAGATGGTGAACAACAGCTCGACCTAGAGTTGGGCGGCTATGAGTCGCCGGCAGTGTAGGCTGCAGCCCCTGCTGCAGTGGGCTGCCATATGCTACTGTGAGCCGCCATCCAGAGGCCGGCGACTGACTGCCTCGCCCGGGAAGAGCGCAATGATAATACCAACATGGGCCAGTGAAACGACATCCTCCACAACTAGACTGAAGAACAAAAAAGGACAGCAACTTGTCTGTTCCCCTCCCCCAATTCCCCACTAAAAGAATCTTTAAAAAAAAAAAAAAGCCATCCTGGGGCTCACGGCACCTAAGAGCCACTGCAGCCCGGAGGGGCCCCCGTGTCTGAAGGGCACTCTCCATCCAGAGCTGGCCAAACACGTTCGCTGACCAGGGGATGGCACGTCCTTGGTCTGGGAGGAAAGGGCTTGGGCTCAGATCAGACAAGAAGCTAGGGCTCTGCGGGAATCGGCAAATTCACCTGTGAGTGAGAGCACCCCTGCCTCCGTCTACACTGTACAAAGAACATCCAGTGGAAAACAGAAAATACGAAACACAAGCAGAGTTTTACCTAAAACATTTTTATGGTTCAACCCAAGAGGATTAGTGTATCCTAAGGCACTCCCCAAACCTCAGGACCTTTTCTTCTAGTTCAAACCATTCAATAACACTTTGGGAGCAATGGGCTCTCTGCCAAGCTCTGGGTGGCAGGACAGCCCCACCTTGCTCTTCCCAACAGCCGTGCAGACCACAGGTGACCCCCCCCCACTCCTACCTGATGGGTGCGCACTGGGTTAATCTGAGGAAAGGCTAGACAGTTCAGGAAGAAGAATCAATCTCTCTCTCTCACACACATCTTACTGCCTGAGACATAAAAAAGCTTTAACAAAATAAGTATGCTCCTTCAACGCATCATCCTTGGTGCGTTCCACGCCCTGCGTGATGACAGTTGGTCAAGGGTTCTGTAAAAGCACAACAGGAGTTCAGAGCGAGAAGGGTTTAAGTCCACGTGCACGTAGGATTCCGCTGTTAAAATGTGCAGCTGGCAGTCTGCACAGCCTTCAGGGGCCAGGACCCCAGGGGCTGGACTCATGTCCACCGGGTGGACGTGGAAACTTAGACACCTAGAGCAGGCAGCACGGTGGCAAGAGTCACACTTAACACACCGGCCCCATCCTGCAGGTGGCAGAGTTCAGGGGGCCCACCTGCTGCTCAGAGGGTTGGAGACACACTTTGCTGATGGAAGGGGTGGCAGGCCATGGGGCTATCCATTCGGGAGCCCCCAGCTCCCCCCAGGACCTGCTACGGTGGTGGTCCCACAGGAGTCCTACCCATCACGAATGAACTCCCTCAGCCCTTCTTTCCTGAAGCGGCCTGAATCGTGTCCCCAAATTCACATGTTGAAGTTCTAACCCCCAACACCCCAGAAGGTAACACATGGGGTCACAGGGTCTTTAAAGAGGTGATCAAGTGCAAATGGGGTCACAAGGGTGGACCCTCACCCAACATGGCTGGTGTCCTTGTAGGAAGAGGAGTGGAGTGTCAGGTGGGGACTAGGCTTATCGGGGGTCACTTCGGAGGCTATGCAAATGTCTAACCACTATGCTGTACACTGGAAACTGATATAACACTGGATGTCAACCGTAATTGAAAAAGAAAAAAATTCACAAGGAAAAAGAAGAGGCAATGAGGACAGAGACACCCACAGAGGGACAACCATGTGAGGACACAGGGAGACGACGGCCCCAGAAGGAAGCCACCCTGCCGCCACCAGGATCTCGGACCTCCAGCCTCCAGAGCTGTGGGAACAATGTTGGCTGTTGAGGTGGTCCGGTCTGCGCTGTTTTGTTATGGCAGCTCCAGCAAAGCAGAAAAGTAATGGTCCCACCAAGCTGCATGTCTGCCTCTGCCACCTTTTGCCATCAAACTTCTAGATCCAACCTTACACGCGCTGTCTTCTGGCGTTCCCTCCATCCTCCGCCCTCTGCAATCCCTCACAGCCCAGCCCGATGTCCCAGCCCAGCCCACAGGCGTTCAGCATCCGAATCCGAATCTCCCTGACCACCCCTCTCTGAAACCGCTCTCTTGACATGTAGGGCGACATCCGACCTGGGTCCCATTACTCCTCAGGGGCCCCCTGGTGCTTCTGTGCATCTCTGTCCCTGCACATGCGCTGAAAGCGGGGCTGTGAGTCAGGTCACGCTTTTTATCAACAGACAAGATGGGGATAACCATGCACTGGCATCGAGTGACCTGGCAAACAGTGCCTGAGCTGCTCCTCTGCCCCCGGCCCATGCTGGGACAGCCTCAACTTGTGCTGACACAAACACACCTTCTGCCATCTGTCTTTCCTGGTGACAGCGGGGACAGGGTCGGGGGGAGAGGGGTGAAGATTGGAGGAAGGTTAGCCCCTTTTTTCTTCTGGTGGGTACTTGAGTCTCTTCCCCATAGATACAAGACTGCAGGATAAAAAATACTTACACTTCTGGGAAGTGCTGTGCTGATATGTGTGCTACAGAAACAAAACCCATTATCTGGGCTGCTTTAGACTGGGCATCACGTCGTTCAGGAAGGAGGGAAGGAGAGGGCATTTAGGACGTAAGAGCGCTTCTGGGGGAGCCGGGCAGCGGGACCCCACTCAGCTTCTGTCTCCTGGAGGACGGTGCCTCCCAAGGGACAGGTGGCCAGCAGGGTGAGCTCAATGGCCACGGGATGGGAGATTAAAGGGAAAAACCATTCAGCCTCTGCTACCAAACAGCTTTGTTCTGACCTGCGTTGGTGACCTCTCTGAGTAAATAGTGAGTAATGAATGACTACACTCCGCCCTCTCCTGGATGACAGAGCATTGTGAGGCCTTGGCAGAAATCTAGGCCCGGACTGGCTGCTCTGCAGACGGATGTGAACGCAGGATGCATGTGGCCTGCCCCCCAGGATGTACCCACAAGCCTCTTCCCAGAAAAAGCCCCAGTGGCCACCACATCCCCGTGTTGCATTATTGCCCCAGAAGCCACGTGGATGGCCACAGCCCGTGAGCTGGTTCTCACCACACTGCGTCATGGTTTCTTGGGTGAAGCTAGGTTGCTACAACCCTGACCAGTAGGGGCGGGAAAGTCTATAATCCCCTAAAACTCACTGGTAGGGACACTCAGGGCTGAGTTCTGGGGGCAGAAGCTGGGGAGGAGGGGTTATAACACGTCAAGTTATGGGAAACCTGTCTCCTCCTGGCCTTGCTAGCCTCTCACTCACCATTCACCCTACTTCTCACCAAAAGAATTCAGACGTTTCTGGAATAGCAAAAACTTTCAATCGTCCTCTCTAGAGGAAACCAGTTGGGCCGGGTGGAGCAGGCTGGGGTGGATGGGGCTCTTTCAAGGGGTGGGGGACACCATGCTGTGGTTGTGTTTCTTGAGTTTCGTCCTCAGAGCTGTCACTGTTCCCTGTTGGGACCTGAGTCGATCTGGACTGACCTGCTGTGACTCATGTCACGCGTGCGTTAGATACTTTAGCCACCTCTTCCTAAACTGAAAGGATCTGTGAACAAGGGGCAACGGGCTTACCGAGCCATTATATCTGGAAGGATGCTGATAGGCTAATAATGTAATTCAGACCCAGCACTTAAAGGACGTTTATGCCGAGCTCCTAAACGCAGCTTCACCGAGTAATACGGCGAGGATATTTAAAGGCTGAGCACAAGATCCAGCAGGGGATCCGTGCTGGAGGGACAGCTGAGTCCTAGGGGAGGGGCAGACGAGGGTCGCCCCAGGACCTCGGGCTGAGGGGCTGCTCTTAGGGACCGGGGGAGCAGCTGTCACCTCCACATATGGGCTGGGACTCCAAACAGCAACTTCCCCAAGGCCGACAGACAGTGGAAAATGGAAGCTCGGGTGTTTGGGCTCAGTGTCATGCTCCCCAGGGATGCCCTATGAGCCCCACTATTGCTTGTCACTCGGTGGCAGCACTGCGAGAAGGTGGCACCAGCTCAGGCTTTCTACCAGAGCCCCGGGTCACTCGTCAGTCCCTCCTTGTGTGAAATGGGGCCAAGGCCCTGGGAGATACGCTGAGGGGTTCGCTGAACACACGAGTGCTGATGGCAAGGGCCCCTGGGACACACACCAGAAGGCAGTATGGCCTCAGGTTTTCTTCACAAAGCCAGGAATGATGTTCTTACGTTGCACAGGATCCCTCTTTTAACATCAGAAAGAGAGAGAACTTCACAGTATTTGCTCTAGACACAATCGGTCATCCCTAGATGTAGTCTCCAGTTTTCTGAAACAAGAGTACAGGGTCTTGGACATGGGGGGCCTGGAAGTCATTGCCAAGGGCCATAAGGGGTTAAAGTGTTCCTTGGATGACATTGGTGTACAGGAATCGAGTCCCAGAGCCTTGAAAATGGTAGTCAGTCCACAGAGCCCGGGTCTAAGCAGCTGGTCTCTTAGGAACGCCACCGGCCTCCTCAGAGCCAAACAAAGGAGATTTTTTTTTTTTTTTTAGTTGAGCCATCCTGCACCTGTTGGCAGCTCAACGGCTGCTCAGTTCGGCTGGACTCGAACCGCTGTTGCTCAGAGCTCATACTCTTGAGCGAGCTCTTAACCAACTGAGCCACTCAGCTGGCCCCCAAAGGAGACTCTTGGAAACCTCCAGACCTGGTCCAGAATTCTGGGCTCGACCCCCACCTCCCCCCAACTCAGGATGTCCAGAAAGCATTCTTGCTGGCTCCCCCAGGAATTCCTGCCCACATTCTCCACCTACCGAACCCCGGAGTCCTGTTGGCCAGACTGGAGTAGGCGGTCCCGCTGGGCGAGGAGGTAGCCGGGCTGGACAGCGGGCTATAGGAGGAGGGGTCGGCCGGGTAGGTGTGGCTCGTTCCGATCCCAAAGGGAGACGACTGAGTCTTGCTGGACTGAGAGGGGATTTGCTACAATTAGGACAAAGGAAGGCGACGGGGCGTGTCACCAGCAGGTCCCCATCCCATGGCCCAAGCTGGTCACCACCACCCTCTGGAGTGGCAGCAGGGACAGTGTCTGCTCTGGGCTGACAGGACCCCTATGGTCCCCTGGCCAGCTGGGCACCAGGCCTGGGATCAGGCCAACGTGTGTGGGCACAAGAACTAAGACCTCAGGCCTGGATCTTTGGGGCAGGCCCGATACAGTTACCCCTGGGCTTCAGTGATCTGGGTCCTCTGGTTCCGACCACAGGGCCTTGGCACCAAAAGTGCCAACAACTGCCTTGGCTTGTGTTCCTGGGTGCCCGGCTGTGGTCGGGATGGTCAGGTCCAGCTCAGAGCTGACCCATCCTCAGAGCCAGCATCCAAAGAAAGCATATCCAAGTGCTCTGCCCTGCTGGCACCGGGGGGCAGTGCCCTCACCAAGGTCCGTACCTGTCCGGGAAAGGGCGGCCGACTCCCTGTCCACGCCACCTGACTCTGGTTTAGCTGCCGGGAGATTTGGGACATGTTCTGGCCGGTTGAAGAGGAGGACTGGATATCGTTCACTCCGGGCACATGAACCACCGAGGAGCTGAAAGAGAAGAACACACATCTGTCCTGAGGAGGTCCACCACCCGGCCCCACCTGCCTTTTCTCTCTCTGTCTCTCTCTAGGAACAGATTCCTAGGAACAGAGAAGCCTCTTAGAATGAAAACCCGTCTCCGTGTTAACTCACTCCTTTGTGCTCTGGTGAGTTTGTTCCTTTGGGGTGCCTGTAGGGCTTACCAGGCGGCAGGCTGTCAGTTTGTTTGTTTTAAAGCAGAAAGAAGAGGCTGTGAGTGGAGGCCTGCTGGAGGGAACCCAGTCCTAAGCATGTTTACTGTTTACCTTTCCTGCCTCCCTTCAGTAATCTTCAGTTTAAATCAGTGTCTTTCTTTAGGCATGGCGGTGTGTCACAGGGTGCTTCCGCTGGCTCAGTCCTCTGACCGCTGTCTTGCTCCTGGGCACGCGCTGCCCTGAAATTTCCCCAGCTATGCCCTTTATACAATAAGCTCATTAAAGATGGGACGCTGGGGGGGACTCTGTCATTTCAGGCCCTTCCTCCCCACCTGCCTGGTCCAGTTCAGCACGGGCAGCGTGGTAAGCGCCCGTGGGTGAGTCACATTGAGGGGTGGGGGGTACAATCATGGAAGGTGCTGGGGCATGTAGGTTGTGAGCTGGGTTTGAAGAGAGGCGGGGTATAGACCTCAGAGAAGGCGGCACAATTTGGCTAACAGTATTGTAGTATTATTTTCTATGCTGACTGGTCCCTCTTAAAATAGGGAGGACACAAGGACAGCACCACGTGCTTGCACCGACCGCTCGCTGTAAAGGGGACATCACTCCCACCTTCCTAAAATCAGCTCTTCATGTTCTCCCTCCTGAGGAAGGTACGACCTCAGAGGCCTTTCTGATCACGGCTCTCTAAGGGGGGCCTCGCCCTCACCCCTCAGGCCTCGGTGCCCTCCCAGCACGGGCTGATGAAAGCCAGCTACAGCCTTGCTGGCCCTGGGAAAGGTGCCCTGTGCCCACCCTCCCGGGGGCCTGTGGGCTGCAGCTGCCTGCCTTGCTCGGTGCACGCAGGCAGGGCCGAGGCCAGTGGGGGGCCATCTGCGGCAGGGCTGCGGTGAGGACATACACGGAGGTGTGGCAGCGCCTACCCACTCAAACCAGCCCAGGCCCTTCAGGTAAAAAGGAAATTCTGCCCATTCCACAGGCTTATGGCCTCACAGACACCCTTTTGTTCATCCATCCATCACTCATTCATCCATGTCACTGAAGCGGATGGAGTGAGCACCTTTCCCTGCCACCGCACAGGGGCTGCCACCGTCCACACTGAGTCCTCCCCTACACAGCCAGCCGGCCACAAGCCTGCCTTTCTTTCTCAGTAAGCCCGCCAACCCACCCCACTCTTGTTACTATGACAACAGCCCCGCCCGGGCTCAGTGCCTGGGGCTGGACCCCTGCAGCCTCACGGCTCCACTCCATCCCACACACGACAGCTGCCCAGAACTTCCCCCAGGACCCCATGTCCTCAAGCCCCTCTGCTCCCCAGAGCCATCAGTAATGAAGCCCATACTCCTTAGCACGGTATTCAGGGCCCCGCAGTCTCGCCCTGTTCCTCCCGGACGAAGCCGCCCCATCACTCCTGCCCCCGGGGCTGCGCTCAGCCCCCTCTGGCATTCTCCCCAGCTTGTGCTCCGGTTCCCCAGCCTTGGCACCAGGCTGGACTCTGATGGTGTTGTCAGTGGCCGCAGCAGGCCCTGGATGCTGAGAACCCCGCCTGGGGAGGCCAGACCCGAGTGGCTCTTTAGGTTGAGACCCCAGCATGATGGGCCAAGTCATCCTCTCTTCCTTGGACCTGGCTGTGGCCTCTGGGAATCAGGTGACAGGGCACTTCCTGCTACCTTGTCAGGTGTCCCCAGCTCTGACCCATCCAGGCCCTGGCTAGAGGCGAACTCACCCCCTTTTTCGGGCAGGTACTGCTACAGAACACGGTGGCTGGTGCCCTTCTCGACTGAGAAAGGTAAGCGACGCCATGTATCTATGGCAACTCATGGAGGGCGCAGGGCAGACCCCCAGCCACCAGAATCCTCAGCCCGGACCAGGGCCCGCAGACAGTGACCGCTCGCTGATGTTCGCCGCGTTTGCCGCACACAGGGCCGAGCTCTGAGATCCCGGGCTTCCCTGGCGAGGGGGCATCCACCCGGCCCTCACCCCGTCCCTGCACGTACCTGAAGGCCTTCCCAGAGTGCCCGGCAGGGAACGGGCTCCCTTGGGAGTAGATCTGCTGGGTTCCCGCCGCAGAGGCCGAGCTCATCATCTTCTTTTCCGCTGGGAAAAGCAGGGCAGGGGTTACATGGGAGGAGGATTCCCTGGGCCACAGGCCACGGGCTGGGGCAGCCCAAGAGCAGGAGCAGGGCGGGCGGGCCAGCAGGACGACACGTGCCCAGGCGACTCACTCCCCCCAGCTCCACAGGCTCACCCCGGCGGGGCCTTGCCTGCACCTGCGAGCATCCACCTGTCCTCGAACACCTGGGCCAGGCCCCCAGCCCCCGGAAGCCAGGCCCTTTTGAGACGGGAAGATGAAAAGAACGAATGAAGCTCTTCCTCAGACACTATTTTACCAAATCCTTCCAGCCCTGTGGGGTGGGTATGGCACGTCTCATCTCACGTGCGAGGAAGAGAGAGCAGTGGTTAAAAGGACAGGCTCAGGCCCTCAGCTTCCCAGCCTTGAACCCCAGTTTTGCCCTAGTTAGCAGTGGTGCGGCTGAGTGTACGTCATTTAAAGCTACGTCTTTTCTACCCGTATTAGTTGGATCTCACTTCGTTTTGTTTTGGTCCTATCAGAGTTTGGCAGGCTTTCATTCAGGCAGTACCAGTCAGGATGTCAGCTTACTCCGTCACTCCTGATGGTCATCGTTTCCTGTTATCTCACTTTATTTTTCTTCTGGGTGTTTTGCAAGTTGCTGACAATTTCCTTGTCTTCTCTTGGACGTGAAGCTACTTTCCTTCCTTTTTGTTTTTTTCTCTTCCATGAGTGGCTTTGCTGAAACACACTGGAAGTGACATTTCTTTATGAATGTCACAGATAAACCGGTATATATGGATGAAAAACGTCTGTTTATTACCCTGAATCCAAAGGACATCTGGATCTTTGCTGAACTGCTTTGATTCTGGCTTTTATTTATTTTTCATAGCTTCTGCACCTCCCAACAACTTTTACATTAGTTTTAGGTGTCAGCAGCTTAACTTTTCATCATTTCCACTTTTCCAGACCATCACTTCCAGTCTTGTTTCCTACTTCATTCGGTTCACAATGCAAGTAATTTTCAAGTTGGCGTACTGTTGTTTCCACAAGCGAAAGCAGCTTGTTTGCTAGAAAAATTTTAGATCACATATTTTCCTTCCCCCTTTTTTTCCCTTGTCTGTTGATTTTTTTTTTTTGGTAATTTTGCCATCTTTATGGGAAGGTGTCTATGTTTGTACACTATTAAATTTCAAAGGGATTTCTCAGAAATGCTGCGGGTATCTGGTCAACTACTTCAGCTTTATTTGAGGGGAAGAGAAACCTTTTAGACGCATGATAGGTTGCTTGTGCTGGAGGAAGTCAGATTTCTCTACAAAATAGAGGAAATATTGATGCGGGTGGGTGACACATCTGAGTGCCTCCTGGGAACCAACAGCAGGCAGTTCTGTGTTCCTGTAACAGGCCTCTTTCCTGGTGGCAGCTGGACACTGAGCTGCATTGGCACCCGCTGCCCTCAGTGGGCGGCTGCCCCAGAACCTTCCTTGATGTCTGAGCATTCGGCCCACAGCCAAGCTGCGATGACAGCAGTCGCCTCCCACCGCACACGCTGGCGCCAGGAGGACTGACCCCTGCTCTCCTCCCCTAGGCCACCCTGTCCCTAGGTGTTCACTCTGGGAGGATGCTCCTGGGGTTCCCCCCCCCCGACACCATTCTCCATGCTCCCTTTGCAAGAGTCCGCTGCTTTCTCCCTTCATCTGATCACGTGAAATACCTCAACCACATGAAAATGAATCTTTCTGCCGAACGTTGGAACCGATGAAGACATTTCCAAGTTTTATATGTTGCTACTCTGAGTGGGCGGGGGAGGCAGCTATACGCGTGATTCCACGGGGCACCTTCCCTGAGAGCTGCACCGCTCTCCCTACGGTGGCGCCCACACGGGGAGGCGAGCAGATGACCACTGCAAAAGGCTCAGAGTGGACTGTGGGACAGCCACATAATGGGGTGTTGGGAGCCGTCTCAGAGTACTGAGACCCCCCCTCCAGGTTGACTGCGGGTGGAGAAGGACAGGTGGCTAAGGACCCCTAAGTTCTGTGTGCTGAAGAAAAGACTGCAAAGCTGCTTGTTAGCTGAACGGCAAAAAGGGGACTGCTAAAATCAGTAACCCAACATCGCCCAGCTCACCTCCTGTGCCTTGGAAAAGCAGAAGCTCCTAAAACACAACCACCAGACCCTCGGATGTCACTGTCTATGGACTTACGAACTTTGGGACTTTTCCATCATGGACTTGCTGACAGTTGCTCTTTGCCTTAAGTTTCACTTTACTTAAAATATATTATTAGTTTATTCTAAGTGATCATGTAACTTGTTGCCAAGAGATATCTCACCTCCAAACCCCTAAGTCAGGAACATGGGTTCCTCCTTCCCCCAAACCCCCCTATGCTTAGATAAGAAATTATTCCTGGTAAAAGAGTAACTTGCTCTCTATATAAGCACTATGCCTTTTAATAAAATTTGTCCTGGTTGCCATCCACAGTCAGTGACCCTCCTATAATCCCAACTTTGGCGTCTATGGCATTTATTTCATTTCTCATTTTCTCGCGCCGATCAATCCTGCTCAGGGACCGTTCGGTGGGTTCCTGGCCTGATCATCCAGGGGCCCCGGCTGTCAAGCTGGCTCTCGGCAATGGGGCTGGCTCTACACAAGCGACAGAAATGGCTTAGATCGGTCAGTGATCGGGGGATATGTTCCTAAGGAATTGTCACGTGGAAAAAGCAAGCCACCAAAACAGTGTGAGCTCAGTTTCGCCTATTAACAGCATTCGCGTATGTAAAAAAGATAAAAAGGACCTAGTTTTTAAAATGATTATATCTAGGTAGTGGGATGCTGGATAACTTTTATTTTCCTTTTTAACATATATTTTTATTTTAAAATGTGGTTCTCTCTACATTAGGGATTAAGTTGTAATTTTTTTTTTTTTTTGGTAACAGGGAGTCTTCAGCTTCACAAAACTAAACTGCGTCTCAGATTCATGGAGCTCACATGTACTGCAAACCTTCCAATTTTGATCAGACAAGATGTCAGAGGCCCCAGGTAACAGGAGAGGGAGAGGCAAGGCCAGGGGTAGACAGGACCGGCTGGGACTCTGGTGTCTAGCGCTCTTTCCTGACGCTCTGTGACCCTGTCCCCGCGGGCAGCTGTCTTTGGTTGGCCCCCATATTGACAGTGACTACAAAGCCCACATACACAAACTCCACGTTGTCTGGACACTTACATGCACCGATTCCTGCAAACATCTCAGCAAACCGGGGATCCCTCTCCTGGGGAAAGATGACATCTGCCTTCTCCACAGACTTCCCGGCTTCATGTACACCGGCGGGCAGGTTGGGGACAGGCACCTGGTTTGCACATTAAAACATAGCAGCAGCTGCATGTGAGGCACAGAACAACCCTTGCTGCAGCCACTGTTCTGTCATCAGGCCCCGTCCCTGTGGAACCACCGGGGTTCCAGGCTCGACGGAGTGTGGGGTGGAGAGCTTTTCTGTACATGCAAGCCAAGGACAGGCGGGTGAGGTGTGAGCTGGAGGTCCCAGAAAGGATGGCAGGGTCACACTCATTACTTACAGAGAGAAATAAGAACTATCAACTTGCTCTAAACATCGGGAAAAGTGGGCATAACGTTTCATTTAGGAGAGAGGCCACATGCCCACACATGGCGGGTTCCGTAGAGGGACAGAAGCAGTGGGAAGAGAAACAGGAAGAGAGCAAGAGATGGGGGGGCGGGGGTACAAGAGAGGTGAGAGAAGGAAAGGCAGTGCAGGTGAAGTGGGGAGACACAGGGCACTCAGCCGAGACGCAGGAAGGACAGCTGGGAGGCGGACAGGGTCCCCACTGCTTCTGTCACCTGAGTGTGTCAGCGCTGGACTCACGCACAGCCTGCACGCTTCCATCAGCCCCGCACGGGCTCGCGCAGAGTTCCTCACCTGCTCCTCACCTGGCCAATGCTCTCTCTGGCTCAGCTGTGCATGGAGACCCAGGGGACCCAAACCTCGGCACTGTGTGGACAGTGGAGCAATGGCCTCTGCTGGCCCAAGGGGTCAAGCCAAGGGCAGAACTTAGTCCTTAGCCCACTGGGTTGGAGACAGCTCCACCTGGGACAATGTTCCGGAAGCTCACCTGCGACAGGTCATAGGACGTCAGCCCGTCTCTCTGGTGCACTTCCAGCTCTGCCTGCTGTTGCTGGAGCTGCCTGGGAAACAAGACGTCAGCTGCATGAGGGACAGAAGTGCTGGAGGCAGGGCTGAACCTGACCTTCCCTGCTCCCCAAGGGCACGGCGGGCCATGCCCCACGAGCCTCTACATCGTCTCCAATTTTTATTTATTTTATCGGGGTTTTTTATTTGGTTTGGTTTTAAATCCTCCACATCGACTGCAAGCCGTGTATTGTAAGTTCAGGCTGCCAATATGTAGGAGACGAGTTTTGATTTATGACTTCATTTTGCTCAGGGTAGAAAGTCACCAAAGAAGAAAACATGTTAAGGCAGGATTCATGAAAGGCAGGTGGTTGTCACGCCGAGAACGTTTTATCTATAAGCTGGTCGAGTTTATGTGATCGCATCCAACCTCCACCCTGAACTTCACAATGGTGACTTCACCTCACATTAAAACTAAGAAAAGGAATAGGCGTTTCTAAGTGGCAGGAAGACGCAGTGAGGGCCAGAGGCATCAGGACAGGGGCTGCTCTGAGCTCCGTCCTCTTGGGGTCCCTACACTAGACAAAGCTCCCTCCACTGGGATGTAGGAAACAGGCCTCAGGCTCGGCTGCAAACCCCAGGTGCTGCTCTCGGCCCTCCACGCCCAACACCAGCACGTCCGTCCCACAGCTGACAGCGGGAGCAAGAAGTGCTGACCTGTGGCTGCCCCATCCTGGGAAGAGGCCAGAAGAGGTTTCTCGGGCATTTCACAGCAAGGGAATAAAAATAAACCTTGGTGCGCTTGCAAATTCCAGAGAGGGAAAAGGCGCCATTCAGGAGAGAGCTGACCGACAGCACAGGAGAGGGAATCAGGCTCTCACCGCAGCCAAGGCTGTCCCCCTGAGCTGGGGGACGAGAGCTGACCATGACAAACCAGAAGCATCCAGCTTTCTTCCTGTCCGGGGTGGCCTCCTGCATCAGCGAGATCAGGATGCCGGGCGGGGTTGTCAGTTACCGGGACGCTCCTCGGACAGAGGTTTTACTCAGCCTGAGTGAGTGTGCACGCAGCCCGAGATGTGGGCACGCTTCAAAGCCATGTGGCCAGCATGAAAACCTGGAGACGGTTTTTTGGGTTCATCCCATTTTCCCGTACCACTGGGAGCAACAGGAAAACATGCAGGGGTGATAAAGGGACCTTGTTTGGGCAGCTTCCCGCAGATGCTAACCATCCATACTCTGTCTCTCCAGGAAGCTTGTCCCCGGCTCCTGACCCAGCACAGTTTCTGCCCCCCAAGCACAGAGCACCGGGGGCCCTTCCGGAACAAGTCTGCCCACCGCTGGTGAAGGTTGCCACGACTTTGAAAAGGGCCAGGACTGTTCGCGTCCGCGGCTGTCAGCGCCCTCTACTGTCCACAGATAACACCTCCTCCTCCCATCTTTCAGTCCAGGAGGCGCTTCAGCAACTGGTGCTTTGAGAGTAGGGTGCAGGCTGTCCCCAGGACACCCTGAATGCTTCTCTCTGGTCAGCAGGCAACACACAGTAGGCACCACACACACGGCTGCGGGGAGCGGGGCGGGGGAACTTGGGACCTGGAGCACAGGTGTGGAGGAGGAAGCCAGGTAGATGGGATGAACGGAAGACAAGGAAGGGCAGGGTGGTGGCCGGAGGCGGCACTCAGAGAGAACCAGTCACAATGTTGGCTTCAAGGGGGGAAAGTTCTAGAACAGCGCCCATGGCTCTGAATGCATGACAGCCCTGCCCATTTCCACGGCTTTCGCAGGGGCTGCTATGACTTGAACAGAGGCCGAGCGGATCCGGACGGGCACTTCCTCCTCCTGTCGCTGCACGCTCTTCCCCGGGGTGGGGGGCCCCCACTGGGTCCTGGCTGCATCTGCTCAGTGAGCACCACCCTGGCCCTGCAGGGAGTGGCCTCACCCCTGCTAGGGGGCACATCAAAGGGCTGAGATGGACAGCCACGCGGTGCAGGGGGGTGGCTCATTGGGAAGTAACAGGGTCTGCCCAGAGTTGGAAGGCAGGACAGGGCAGTCCTAGAGCCCCCAAAAGATCTGGGGCAGCCCGTAAGGGACGAGCCGAGAAAGTGCCAAGCAGGTGGCAGAGGCGGCACTGTCAGCACCAATGGTGGCCGACCCCAGCCCTGTACGGAAGGGGCTCTTTACCTGGTGCTCCCCCAGGCCTCCCGGGCACTGTCTCCTGTGGGATCCCAGGGCAGAGGCTCTGTCCTCCTGCCCGAGGTACAGACGAGGCCGGGGGAGGTAAGGGGACGTGTCTAGCTGGGCGCCAGCATTGAAACCCAGGTTACCTGCCCTCTAAGGGGTCTCGCGTGGACCTGTCTGTCAAGCTCTGTGCTCTGAGGCCCAGGGTTGGGGCTGAGGCTGGGACAGAGGGTGGTGCGGCCTGGGCAGGAGGCTGCTTCCTTCCTGGGGGCCCAGAGGGGAGCGCTCCCACCCAGGGAGCTGGAGAGCTGCAGCAGAGCCGAAGCACTGAGGGGACCCAGAGGCCACAGGGACATCGTGGGCTAGGAGGAGGGGGAGGTGGTGGTGGGGGGGGACAGACCCGCCTCGGCATTAAACCTGGGAAACGGAAGCCAGCGGTGCCAACAACCGGCCCGGGCAGACATGAGCGCAGTTCTCACGCTCCTGCGGGCTCACCGCGTTCCCACACACTCGGACGTCTTTCTGGCTTTGTTTGTGCTGGTGGTTCGGCCTTGCATTTCCTTAAGAATACATCCCTGCCCATATCTGGGAGCTGGGCTTCATTTAATCTTCCCAGCAGCCCGACAAGGAAGGGCTGGGGTCCCACCCCATTCCACAGCCAGGAAACGGGGGGCCAAGACTGAGCCCAGGTCGGTGTGCCGACTGGCATGGGGTACAGCTGTGGTGACGTGGGCAGCAGGGAAAGTGGGTCCCTGAGGTGCCCACCCCCGGGCTCCATGCCCCAGACCCTAGAGCTGCCCAGTCATCTGCCCCAGCTCCACTCTGCTGGGCTCTGCGTTGAGGGGACCAGATGAGAACAGAAACCAGGGCACCTTGAACCGACTGTGCTGAGAGGTCTTCACGCGGCCCCTGGGGTCTCCAGATTGGGAGGGCAGTCAGGAGAGGACAAGGGAGGGAAGCAGTGGGGGGACCAGTGCCTGTCCCTGCGGGCAGAGCCGGACCTTGAAGGGTCCCGGGCCCCGCGGGGCCGGCGGCGCAGGCACGTACTTGACATTGGTGTTGGTGCAGATGATGTACTCGATCTCGTCGGAGTAGGGGTTCTGGAAGGTGAAGCTGCTGGTGCGGATCAGCAACCACTCCCGGTTCTTGGTGCGGAAGCGGTACATGACCGACAGCACCTGCCCTTTCAGCTTCACCACCTGTGAAAACATGGGGAGAAGGAAGTGGGCGGTGAAAGGCGGCGAGAGGGGCCCAGGGCATGGGCGAGCGAGGGCAGGCCAGCTGTGCGAGCCCGTCGCCTTCCCCGTCGAGACGCGGCACTGCCTTGGGGTCATTCTGCCGCCACTATGTGAGAGGCCAGCTAGTCGGTGCCCGTCTTATATCAGGACTTTTCAGCTTTTACCAATCAGGTCATGAGAACTCTCTAAGTTGGGGAGACAGCCTGTGCTCGGGACCCAGGGAGGGCTCCTGGAGGGAGACGGGGTCTGGAACGCTGGAGGGTGGGTTAGGTGCTGGCACAGGAAGCTGTGCGGGGAGGCCTCTCCCGGCGGAAGACACAGCACAAGCACATGTTTGGAGCCTGGGCGACCTGGCAGGCGACGGGGGTCGGACTGCCCACGGGAAGCCGTGCCAGTCACAGTCCAGGCCTAAGCCCAGCCTCGCACGCTCTCCATGATGGAAGGCGTCTGAGCAGAGAGTAAAGGATGGGAGGGGGCCCCGCTGTGAATCTCCCTGGGCTCCACTCTTCCATTTGACTTCTAGGTCAGCTGGGACCCAGAGAGGGAATCCAGGAGGGAACTCAGGTTTCTGGGTCCCAGGCTGGTGCCCTGTCACCCAGCAAACTCAGAATTCCTCACACACGTGATCCGGGCCATGCAAACGCTTTTGTTCAAGTCCAGAGTTCAAGGGCTGACTCTGAGCTGACACAGCTCCCTCTGCGTTTTTGCAAAAATAAGCCACTTCCCTTTATCAACATTTGTTCCCCACCCAGGTCGCCCGTGGCTGGAGCCCAGAGAACACAAGTGAGGGGCCCAGGCAGGCGCACTCCAGGACGTCCCCGTGGCTGCTTGACCACTGCCCACTGGCCCAGTGACTGGCCGGGCTCGGCTCACGGGCGTCTCTGCCTGGCCTGCACCTCCCACCTGAGGAATGGGCTGGCTGCTGACAGAGCGAGAGTCGCTGAAGCTGGAGGCGGGGCAGGATCAGATGTTACATTCCTTCTTTTTCTTTGCAAACCCAACGGGTTTAAGATCCCACATGTGCTGTCCAGTGAAGAGGCCGGTGTGCGGGGTGTGGCGATGTGGACAGATGCTTTGGAAGGAGTCAGGCTCCAGCCCTAGCTCTGTTGTCACCTTGCTGTGTGGCTCAGGGCAGGGGACTTACCCTTCCTGAGGCATGGGGTCCACCGCGAAGACGTGGGGATGACAACACACGGTGCAGGGTTAAGGATGACGTAAGATGACGTGTGACAAAAGGTCTGGTCAGTGACTACCAGTGAAGGGCAGAGGGGCCCAACACGGTTAGCGCCTCATTTCCACACACCCCCCAAAATGAGGCCACATGGTCCAGACAGGGTGATGCAAAATTTATGAGGGTTTCCACACATTTAGCAAAGCTAGGACACGCAAGACATACTCTTACAATGTCTAACCTTTCCGATTTCCTATTTTTCCAGCATGAAGTCGCCTGCTCTGGGTTCTGATTCACTGAGGGTCTCTCAAGAGCCAGCGGCCTACACTCGGTGGTGCGGATGATGGTGCAAAGCACAGAGGTGGGGCCAGCCTTCAGGAAGCTTACATTTTAGTAGAGAAGATGGGTGGGGAGAAGGGAAAGCAACAGAGAAAGAAATAAAGCAATTAAAAGCTGGAATAGTTATCAGAGGAGAAGGCCGGGGGATCTCTTTTAGTGAGGATAGTCTCCGATGGCATCTCTGAGATGACAGGAGTGCACACCTAAAAGATAAGATGGTGGGAGTCCTGTGAAGAGTGAGGGAAAAGCATCCCAGTCTGAGGGAACCTGTGCAAAGGCCCTGAGGTGGGAAAAAAGATGATGTGTTCAAGGATCCAAAAGAAGACGCGTGTGACCACGTGTGGTGAAGAAACAAGGATGAGACGCTCGGGGTTAGGTCACGCTGAGCACGCAGCCCTGGTTAAGAAGCTGGGGTTTGACTTCGGGCACACCGGAAAAGCCATCGGCATCATTTTAAATAAAGATGTGGCGAAATCAAATTTATGTTTCGGAATGGCTTGGACCAGGACAAGAGTGAAAGCAGAAAGACAGCAAGGAAGCTGCTGCAAGAGTCAAGATGAGAGATACGGTGAAGGTCAGGAGGACTGAAGCAAGGGAGAGGGGGATGGTTACAGGTGGCTCTGCAGGTGTGACAAAGGGCCTGTGGGGCTGCACGGGGGGCGTGAGATCAGGGGAAGAGTGAAGAATGTCCCTCGGCTCCCAGCCCGTGCCACCAGCGGATGGTGGTGCAAGGGAGACGGGGGAGCTGCAAGAGGAGAATCGGTGTTGTGTGTGCGAAGGTTCCCGGGCACTCGGGGGCAGGTATGGGCAGGCGCCTGGAGAGCTGCAGGTGAGGCGCTGGAGGGACAGTCCAGACTGGAGTCGTCTGGGGATGAAACCACTGAGGGAGGGGTGATGGCAAAGGAGCAGAGCCCTCGGGCATCAGGACTTGGAGAGAAGCAAGCAGAAGTGGGGGACAGAGGAGTCTGACAGGTGGGGGAAGACCAGGGGTGAGGGAAGTTTGGGGAGAAGCGAGCACAGCGTGCAGGGGCAGGAGGGGTGTGAGGTGGCCCACGGATGTGGTGCGTCATCGCAGTGCTAGGTCTGTCCGTGCAAATGAGACCTGGCCTCCCACAGGCAGGCCTGCGGTCACATGGGGTGGTGCTAGGATGCTTGCAAAGCGGCAGGTAAGGGACTTGTTCTCTCAGACGAGTGACAAACTATCATTCCCTTTCTCTTGGGACGTCACCTGCTCTTTCCTTTCCTGGGGCTGAAGCGAGACTTGGGAGCCCTCTGTGGAATCTGTTCTCTGCCTCATCACAGTTGACCTGGGCTCAGGAGGTACTGGGTCCTCAGAAGATTCGAGAAAGTTTATGCCAAAGGGTTTTCCACAGTGCCTGGCACACAGGCGGAGCTCAGCAAACAGGAGCTAATAGTGATGACGGTCACAATGCAGTTATGGCCTTCTTCTCAGGTTGCCTTCAAATCTCCATCCTCAAGCCTTCCCTCGCCCTTGCCTTCTCTCCACAGCGTCTCCGCCCAACAGCGTCTCCTCCGGTTGTCTGTGCCCTCAATGCCCACCGCTCCTGCCCAGTTTCCAGCCTCAGCACCTCTTACTGGGACAACGACAACAGCTTCCCATTTGTCTTTTGTTCCGTATTTGTCTCTCCTGCACACCTGGGCTGCCCGTTGTTTTTCGAACACACCACTCCCCAAAGGAGCCTCACTTAAGTGAATCAGGGGAGAAGTTAAACTTCTCGTCACGGCATTGGAGGCCCTTCCCCACCTGGCCTCACCAGCCCCCTCTCCCCCGCTGCCCACATCCTGCCCACAAGCCGGCCAGTGTCACTCCAACCACCGAGAAACACTTATTTTTCTCCCAAGAGGCCGCACTCACGAGCGTGTCTGCTTGCTGGCCCCTCGGTCCAGAGGGTCTTGCTGTTTTGTCTCTGCTCATTCTTTGGGACCCATCCCGCCTGTCCCCCGGGACACCTTTCCTGCCTCTTCCCCATGTGTGAGCCTCCCCATCCTCTGCTCTTCTCCAGGACACATGCAACATGACTTCTTGATGGGTCTGTCCTCCCCAGGAGGCTGTGAGCTCCCCCATGGCAGGGGCCCTGACAGGTGCCTGAGGCAGGACCTCGTAGCCTGGCTGGCACAGCGTGAGGCTGACGCCCTGCCAGCCACACCCACGTGTACCCGGCTTGTACACCCGCTGCCCACGGGCCTTGGAGGTACCTGCTGAAAACTCTCACGCAGGTGGCTCTGGTCCTCAGAGTGGCAGAATTCCAAAATGTCCTTTCCTAGGAGATCCTACAGAAAGAGAGAAGCTTTAACAACCCCAAACCCCATTTTTTCATGATTTATACATCACTATTAGACAATAGCGTTCATCTCCTTCAGCACACCTCATCGCCGGGGAAACAATGTGGATGCAAACCTCCCCTTGGCGTGACCATGGAGCTGGCCCCTGGACCCCATCATGACTCCCTTTGGCACCCAACACCAACTTCTAACTTTGCTAAGGCAGTACACCAGCAGCATTAGCATGCAATGTTATTTTTGTTTGCCTTGGAGAGGCAAACCATAATAAACATATTTTAATAAACATAAAAAAGAAAGCAAATGATAGCATGAGGGCAGATGGGTGGCCCATGAAAACCAGGATTCTTTACACATGGAAACTGTAGGTCTCTTGTGGCAGGAGAAAGGCTGTTATAAAAACGATTGTGCTTGTTAAAAGCCTATTTACTATCTACCTTCGCTCCTCTATGTTTTATTCAAAGGACCTAGCATTAACCCAAAACAAAAGTGTGTTTTGCAACAACACCAGGCCGGGTAAGATAAACCGTCAAAAGGCAACTCCAAAGTGTTGCAGGAAAGTGGGCCAGTTGGAAGCATCTTAAAAGGCAAAGGGTTTGAAATGAACTCATTGATCAAGACCCAAATCAGCAAGCGGCCTGGGTGGGAGCTGACACGGGCCGTGGAAAGGAAATCTCATCGGCGTGCCAAGAAGGATTTAGGCGTTCAAGGAAGGTGCCGGTGTCGGGACGGATCTGCCTGTAAATGCACTGCCATCGGGGGTTCTGGTGGCTTTGAAAAGGGATTCATTTTCTCCTTGGTTCCATCCAAGAAACAAGTTTGCATGACTCCACCGATGTTAGAATTCTATGGATGGGTCCACTATTTCAACCTGGACTATTTCTAGTTCTAAAATATCCATGTAATTAAAATACCCGCATCAACATATCCCCAACTTTATTCCTCAGAACAAAAGATCCTTTTCTTTCTTTTTTGCTTAAGTGCTTTTTATGTGGAAAGAATCTGAAATCCACAGAGAAGTTGAAAGGACAATCTGTATCCTTTACCTCGATTCAATAATGGTCACATTTTGCCACATTTGCATTTTTCCCCTTTTTCCTATGTATATAAATATAAATATAGAGAAATAAAATACAGTAATACCTTGGTTTGTGAGCATAATTCGTTCCGGAAACAAACTACTCGTATTGCAAGACATCGCTCGTTTACCACGTTAAAATGTATTAGACATGTGTGCTCATCTAAACACTCGCAAACCAAGTCACTCACAATCTAAGGTTTCACTGTATATAAAACATATATAAATGAAATACCTTTCATACCTACACACACACACACACACACACACACACACATACACACTTAAAATTTCTTGTTGAATCATTTGAAAGTATGGAGCAGACATCACGACCTGTCTCCCTGAAGCATGCAGCTCATAAAAACGACATCTTACAAAACCATAACGTATCCTATTACACCTTAAAATACCAATAAAATCATCCAATATTCCACGCATATTAACATTTCCTCAGCTGTCTCCACATGTCTTTTATAGCTATATGTCTTCTGGATGAGGACCAATGGCGGATCTCACGTTGCATATTTGTTATTTTATCTTTTTGGTTTATCTTGATCTGGAGCAATCTCTCCTGCCTTTTTGTGTTTCTCATGACACTGACCTTTTTTGTTGAAAGGTTTGGAAAAAAGGCTAGAGAATGTGCCCCCCAATAGAAGGGGTTCCAAACACAGCTGAGACACAAGGGGTTAGGCAAAATTAAGGGGACATCTTCACGTCCAGGCTTCTCAGGGTCTTCCACATTCATATGCTTTCTAAGTTTCCAAGATTTCCTGTTTGGTTTTCATCACAATTAACCCTTTTTCACAGAGCGTCTTCGCTGCGGTTTGTGAAAACTCAGCTAGCTACACAGAAGGGTCAGGTCAAAAAACGACACGCTCCCTTGAAGCGGTGCAGCTGCCTGCCATGTCCGTCCTTGCTTTGGAAGGACACTACTCCATCCAGGCTTGGACGTGGGGTTTGGGTTGTGTGTCCCCACATCATCCCTGTGTTGTGTCTCCAACAGACATAAAGTTAAGTCTCTAGCCACCCAGGAGTGCCCCACGCCCTACCTGGGGCTGGTAGCCAATCACGCTGATGCACCTCGGGTCCACGAACGTGATGACCCCGTCAGAGCTGTGCCGGGACAAGAACTCCGTGGGCACCGACATCCCGCTCATGTCCACGCATACAGGAGAGCTGGTCACCTGGGGACCCACACAGAGGAGGTTGGACAGAGACAGACGCCTGGACTTAACCTCACAGACCCTCCGTGTCGTGTCGTCCACACAATGAGTCTAAATGTCCAAGCAGCCCGGCTCACACCTTACGCTAACCGGAACCGTGGGCTGCTGTCTTTCCATGTCAGAGCCTCAGTTTCCTGACCAGTCAGTGGGAATGACGAAACCTGTGATCTCACAGGGTGGTTGTGAGGCTCGAAAGAGACGCTGCCCGCTTAACCCCGATCAGCCAAGGTCTGGCACACGGCGGGTGCCAAACAATGCCCACCCTTTCCTCTTCCCTCTCCCGAGCACAGCAAAGGAGTCGAGGAACTGGTCAGAATACTGGAAAAGTCAACCTTTGTGGACCACACTCGCCTCGGTATTTCTTCACCTGCCTGCAGGGAACAACCAACGTTTATCACACGTGGGCGAAACTGCTTGCTCATCTGTCTGAAAATGATAAGACGGAGGGAACCAGGGACACGAGAGGCTAGTGTCCTCTTCACTGCGTCCCCTGTGGCCTCATCATAGGGGAAGGCGCTCAATGCCCCAGGGAGGGTAACAGCCCAGCTGACACTGAGCCAGGCGGGCTTTACACACATTCTTCAGCATAGCTAGCTTTCTGACAAGATTAAAAGCACACTTTCCCTGCCCTTCAGAGCTTCCAGGGACCCTGCAAGCACTCAATCAACTGGCTACAGAGAAGCCGACAGTGGAGAATGATAACCGACTATGAAATCCATGCTGGGGAGGGGATGGTGAATTTTGACGAAGCCGATGAAGGAGGCATTTTAGCTGGATCTTGAAGGATGACTACATAGGAGGTCAACAGGAGATGGAGTTTTGAAAGGAGAAGAGGAACAAGGAAATATGGAGCAGAAGGAGGCGGCTGCGGACAGCGCAGAGGTGAAGTGCTGGTGGGCTTGTGGGGTGGGGGATGCTGTGGTCTGGGGTTAGGGCACAGGGTGGGGGGGGCAGGGAGGGTGAGGGTGTGAGATGAGTCAGCGCTTTGTCCTGCAGACCACAGGGAATGGCCTAAGTGATCAGATGGTGTGACGAGAGGGCAGCGTCATTGGGGACAGACAGATGCAGGCCCTCAGTGAGGCGAGAGCTCTGCTGCTCCCAGCTCTCAGCCCCCCGTTGCTCCCACAGAGCGAGACGCGGAGCCCAACCAACACTGAACGCACAGGGGCTCCGAAGAGGCGCCCAAACCCACGAGCTCTTGTTGCTTGTAATGCCAAGCCCTCGTCGGGGAGAACACCGTGAGCCTTTCCTTACCTGAAGTCTCCCGATTGCCACGAGGCAGTATTTACTGCCCTGTCCCACCTCGGCGTCCTCTTCGGGTATAGTCATTCCTGAAACGACAAATGCCGGCGTCGCCCACAACATGCCCGCGGTGCGTGGCAAAGGGGCGACAGTGCCCGTGATGTTACGCATGCAATTGAAAATACGGATCCGCTGTTGACCTCTCGGGGCCTGGGAAGCCAGCCAATGTAGTAGCCGGTCCTGCGCTCGTTCCTGCTTTTTCCCCTGCCGGGCGGTGTGGAACAATTTCATGGTACATGATCATCTGTGTTTGTGGGTCACGCACGCAGCAGAAGTGGAGATGGGATGCAAGTTATTCATTTATACATTTGCAAAATTTGGCCAAAACATTTCATTATAAAAGAAATGTCAGTAAGATGTGCAGATGGGCATCTCAGGTCCTGTAAATATTTTGCTTATCTGTCGACAAAGAATCAAATAAAGACCACGAGAGGCACTGGGGTGTTATCAATTGTTGTTTGGGATTAGGACCTGGGTAGGATGGGACACTACTTTTTAGTTCGTAACCTTTTAAAAACTAAAACAAAACAAAAAAACCCCACACGGGTTTATGGGTTAATTCTACTTTATTTTTCAAGATTGTATAGGTCTTCTAAATTTCTTTAACGCAGATGGGCTGTTTTTGTAGCAATAATGATAAAGATAGAAAAACAGAGTGGCACATGACGTTTTGGCATGGAAAAAGGGGGGGCTTCCTCCACCTGGGGAATTTTTAGGTTGCACCCCCTTCCCCCACAATGCCGGAAACACGGGCATGGTGACCCTGGCTCCAGACTTCAGAGCTCTGCCCCCTGATTACCAAACGCAGAGAACAACGCTGCCGACGGTGGTTGGCGTTTCATTCTAAAACGCCTGGCAGGCGTGCAACGCGTCCTTCTAAACAAGCTGCCACTGAGCCACGAACACCAGCATGTGGTGTCCTCTGCCTGCAGGGAAGGCTGTGAGTGCTTTCTGTGTAAACTTGGACTCAGAAGACAGAGCTCCGTTTCCAGTAACTCGTAATCGGTAAACAGAGTTCGCTGAGGGGTTGTGACAAGAAGGCCCCAGAGGTACAGCGAGGAGGAAAGGGCGAGGGGGCATGAGGGGGGCCCCCTCTCTCGGCTTCAGTCTCTCCATCCGGCGGAGGGAGCAGGGGCCACTGCAGCCTGAGCCTGGGTTACTGTCCCCGACCGGCGAGGGGGCGTTTCCATGACAAACAGGACACTGACCCTCTAACTCCCCAATGCCTTCCTGTGGGATGTCACTGCTAGTCTCAGCTGTCAGTCATAAAAAGGTCAGAGGTACAGCAAGATGTCCCAGTGGCTGGCCTCTCCCCCGTCTCCAGCTTCTTGAAGGTAAATCCCCACTGGTGCAGAGTGGGCATCTATAAGGCGGGGCTGTGTCCCCACAGTCCACCTGTCACCCACTCCTGCTTTGGGCTACGCCGGGACACCAACGTCCCATCACACCTGGGGGCAGCCAGGAGCTGGCTGGCACCAGCAGCTCTGCCATGACCTAACTGTGTCGACTCCTCACCCGCTATAGCCTACCCCTCAGCGGCCCCACATCCTTAATCCGCTCTCACCTCTAAGCAGCCTCGACGTTTGCTCCAGATCCTTGAAGACCAGCCTCCACCTGCCTTGCTCACCTTCTCAAACCAGCCAGTCCCACCCCCACCCCCACTTCCTCCTACTCACCCCCTGGGAATGGTACTCTTTGCAAGTGCAGCCCTTGGCGCCCGCCTCTGAGGGCTCTGCGCTCTGGCTGCTCCTCTCGCCGAGGTCCCTGGTCACAGAGCCCTGGTCCCCTCCCCAGTGCCGCTTCCACAGCCCTTCTCCCCACACCCACTCCCTCCACTCTCTCCTCTTCCACCAGTCCGTCATCCACACTGTCCCAAGCACAGCTTGGGCCATATCTGAGCCCCTTTCAGAAAGCCTCAAGGCTCCGCCAGAACACCAATGTTAGGGCCATTCGCTCCATCTGGGAAACTGATGTGAGTGACTGGTCCCTGGAAAGCCCGTCTCAGAGACTGTTCTGGTAAGCGTGCGTCCTGAGGAAGAGGTATCCGGCACGAGGCTGCTGCCCGACAGCATAAAGCCCCTTTCTGCTGCAGGTCGGCGGAGCGCTCCTGCCTTCTGTCCCTACACACCCTGGCCACCACGGGGGCCTTTACAAAGTGGCCCATGGCCTTGGCACGCCAGGTGAGGGCTGCAGGTTGCCTCTCATACAGGAAGGCACACATTTTCTTCCTATCTGAAATGGCGGAGACGAGATTTTCTCTGGGTGTCAGGGTGCCACCGTGGAGGCCCCTCACAGTGAGTGCACAGGCCGCAGTAAGGACTGCTTCCCGGGGAACGGCCAACATGCCTGGCACCAGCAAATCTGTGGGGACAGAGTGGCCGGATGGTGACTAAGGGTTCCGGCTCCAGTGACCGGAGGCATCCTGACTCGGAAATCCTGACTGCACCATGTACTGACCACAAAACCTTCATTTAGCCTCTCTGAGCATCGGGAGATGGGAATAAACGTAGTTCTGATCCGTGAAATGGGAATAATCGTTAGGACTGCATGAGATGAGAAAGTGTGTGCTAAGCACCCGGCACATGCCTGGCACATGGGGTTTAATATATCCAGTGCTGTGTTCACGGTGGCACTGAAAGCCCTTGGCACTGGAAAGAGGTGGGGTCACCCCACTGTGGTCGCCGAGCTCTGCCTGGCTGCAGAGCAGAGGGTCAGGGCTGCGGCCAAGGGCAGGAGGAGAGGCTGGGGTCAGTGGAGATCCAGACACCTGCAGGGTTTTAGGCTGTTCCTCTGGAGAGGGGAGGGGCTGGCCTGAAGCAGCGCTCAGCTCAGCGTCAGTTTGGTCATGAGATCAGCCAAGTGTGACACACTTTCTGAGCACCTACTAAGCGCCTGACGCTGCTGCAGACTAAGGACTTAGCAGTGCACTCTCTCCCTCCTCTCCATGCTGTGTGGTGAGCATTTAGCACCAAGGGAGGAGCACACGGCTGGACGCCAGGACCCGGAGGACCGGTGTCAGGAGGAACCCGCGTCCTGGCAGGAGCGGCAACGTTTATCAAAACGGGGTTTTTAATAGAAACAGGGTAATTCCAGCCATTTCACCTTTAGATTTCCACGGCTCCCTGGTCGGTGTCGCCAGCACATTTTGCCCTTCACTGAATTACCTTTTCTCCGAAAACACTCTTCCCCAGGCACGTCTAAATAAACCTAAGTAATATAAACAACACACAAACAAAGTGGAGCTGGAAACTGCTGTCGGGAGGACATGCAGCCGTGGCCGGGAACGCTTCTCAGTCCCTCACGAGGGGCTGCGTTAACCCTACGCACACCCGTGGGAGGTCGGACTGCTGTCCAGTCGTGCCAGGTGTGGTCTGGCCTGGGACCTACAGCCTCCCGTGGGGATTCACACATTGTTCTGCCGCCAGACGCAGGCAGAAACCATCACCTTCGGAGAGCAATTCAGGCCACTTGTGCACAGCACGCTTCCCAAATCTCCTCTGGGGAATGGTCATAAGTCTTAGGCGGAAACAAACAAACAAAATGTTTCTTTGGCCCAACACATGTGGGAAGCATCATTTAAACAAAGATAAAGAGGCTCCGCATCAGCACAGGCCTCAGGGGACATAACCTGGGAACATGGCTCTCTAGGGGGAGCACCCAGCAGGCAGGGTCTCCCCGGCTGTTGACCAGGGAACCCTTTCTTTCCCTGCATCTCCAGGGAGGTGTGGGGGAGGTGTGATCTCAGGCAGTATGCTAAGAAATGGGTGGGGATTTTGGCCTGCAGGGATTTCGCATTTCAGGGTTCCCGCTGGTGACCCTGAAGAAACAATCCCCCCACTTTGCAGAGCAGAGCTTAGGCGTACAACTGGTGCTTTGGGCTCCAAAGAGCAAACGGAGACCACCTGCGTAACCACCTGTCCCCCATCCCATCACCGAGGCAATGAGAGCCTGTGGTGAGACAAGCGCGGGTCAGCACAAGGAACCCGTTCCCCACATGGGAAGGAAAAGGCCCCCCTGGCCGATGTGTGGAAGGGCCCCGGCAGGACCAACCTACAAGCTCAGAGCTGCTGTGGCTGGAGATCAGCACGGAATGGGGGATGACAAGGGAAAGCAAATCTCTGTCTCCCACCACCCAAAAGGGGTCATGGTGGCCAAATGCCTGGGCATCCTACCAGGGGGCTGCGACCTCGGTCACCCCTCACTCCACCGCCGGCACTCATGCAGACACGCGAACCCTTGGTCAGGTAACAGGAAAACCAAACATTCCTCTTCTGCCCTTGTCAGGGACTGAAAGATCTTACTAGAACCCACATGACCAACGACGGAACCGTCCTCAACTCTCCACCATGGACAAGCTCACGGCGACCTGTCTAAGGTGAGGCGCGTGGAAAAAAATCACAAGCATGTGAAAAAGAGATTAAGTTCAGAAACCATCACAAATGTTCCCAGTAAGGGAAAAAGACGTTCTTTATCAAGAGGAGGGAGAAGAAGAAGCAGAAAAAAAACTAAATTCAACTACTCAGTGTGACTCAAGAGGACTGAGTTCACATGGAAAGTGTTATTGCCAGGTTCTTAAAATAAATGGGAATCATGAACAGAGAATTGAGATTGAGAAATTCTCCAGGAATTTGGAAGAAAGGGATGAACACATTAGAGCAAAACTCCAAGTGGCCAGGAGGACAGATCCGGGAACTCGGGATGGCGCTTCCGGGAGTGAGCGGGGCCAGCTGACAGGCAGCGCCAACCGGGAAACATCGGTACCAATTCCCTTGTGGTGGGGAAAGGCTTGAGTCTGCCAGCTGAGGGGCCCACTCAGCACTGGGTACAATGAATGAAAACAGACCAACCCTAGACAGATCTGAGTGAATGTCTTTAATTCCAAAGACAAACTCAGGACAACCTACGAGGGTCACCGAGGTTAGAAAAGCAGCAGAAAAGTGGATCTCAGACCTCAGCGCACAACGCCAACTTCTATAGATGACAGAGCAGCGTCCCCACCGTGGTGAGGGACAAACCCGTGACCCAGGAG